TCAGGCTGGCCCGAATCCAGTACCAAAAATCCAAAGGACCAGCCACAAACAGCACATGAAGAAGCATTCCAATGCTACTGTAAAACCTCTCCTTGCGGGAAATTTTCGCCATTTTTTACAGTTTCAGTTGGCAATACTCGTATAAGCGTCGTTGACCATCTTCTCCGACAATCACTTATAATGAGAAAAGTGTGAAAGAGCAAAAGAAGAATAGGTAGGAAAACAGGAAACATTACAAATTCCCGCGATTCCACTCCAACAATGGCAAGGCACAATTGACAGATCCATCTTCTCTTTATTACATCATAAAATACGACCATGGCAGCGCTGCGGGGAAATTTGGATGTGATTGAAAATGGAAATGTCAATCTGCGGCACACAACAACAAGTTCACTTTGAGTCGCATCAACACAGATCTTACATCCCCACCATTATTTCAGCACAGATCTTACATCCCCACCATTATTGTCATCGACATCGGCATCTTCCTTTCATCCTCCTCTTTCTCTAGCAACAATTGTCAAAAATCAGTTTTGAGTTTGCATTTTTGCAGGTAGATTTCAAAAAGAGAAACAGGGAAGCAGATGGTGACACTGACCAAGTACCCAGAAAAAATTGATGAACTTTAACAATTTTCAATCTCTTCCTTAATCAGCCGAATTCTTTAAGATTACGCAAAGACCACATGTGTAAGTTTTTAAACGTGTGTAGTCAGAGAAAAGAATTTTGTATTTCTATTATAATATGGCACATAATTAACAGGAAATGATAAAAATAAAAAAGCGCTGAAGAAATTTTTTGAATAAACAACTGACTTAACATCGTGTTATCACATGGAGTGGTCATGCTGTATCACTTAACTAGTTTTGTAATGTAGAGCTTCGAAGGAGTCATTCTTGGCTTCTAAAGCACCATTATCTTTTGTGTTGTAAAAAGTAACAAATCTGTTAAAAAGAATTGCCTTTCAATTCACTAGTTCGGTTGCTCAATAAACATTCAGTCACGAAAACACGGCTACATCGACAATATAGCTGGCAATCTTCATCCATTTCCATAATGTGTTCGGGAATCAGTATCGACTTTGATTTGATTTGTGATAGATTTCACTGAAAGCTTATGCTAAATATTTAGGTCGAGAGAGCGAAAACTTGAATATAAATCGGATTAAATAAAACAGAAAACAAGAAAGGAATGAAGTGAGAACGGATGACTTTTACGAAGCTCAAACAACCATTGTCTGAAACATAAACAATCATAAACATGATCTGCGAACCACTACTTGTTTGTAGAGGTCTTATGAAGATATACGACTTAAAACGGGAATTATGGGCGATGCATTAAAAGGTCATAAGACCAGTGATGGCTAATCAACTTTTGACTAAATAGCACGGATACTAGATGAATTCTCCAAGACTACATACCACTTTATTAAAATTCTCATTGCAATCAAAAGGCTTCTCTCTGCTTCCATCAAAAGAAAAAATGAAAGAAAACGCGATAGGACCATAACCGTAAAATATACCGTGTTACAATTGGCTGTCCTCATTTTCATTGTGTACTTTCCAGACATGAAATAAGGAGTGTGTGGTCCGTAATGCAGCGATATTGCCGTTTAACTTCAGATTTAAAGAGTCTCTCCGTTGGTTGATCGGCCGATCAGAGGCGGCAAAGATTTCAGTGATGACAGCGAGCCTATTGGATACGGAGCGAAAAGTGGAAATTGTCAGTTAATTTGTTTTATCATTAAATGACATAGGAGTGGTTTTAAGTGTGATAATCGATCTCTTCTATGCGATAAGCTAAACATTATTTGTGGAGTGGATGATGGTTTTCTTTAATTTTATCCGAAAATGGGACAGTAATGATTTGATTAACTTTCAGCTTCGTAGCGTATCGCGGAGATTTTTTTATTTTTGTAAAAATAATTCACTTCTACCAGATTTTTGTTTTGAAATAATTTTGAAGTTTTTTTAGTAACTCAGTAACATATTAAGACAGTTTCTGAAATTTTCAATTTTTTTTCACTAATTATAAATCTTTTCAAGTTAGATGCGGATTCACTTCGATTGGACCCCTCAAATTTAACGGTGATATTATATGAGGAAGATCATACTATTGGCAATTCATTGAAACATATCTTATGCAAAATGTAAGCTTATTATCAGCGATTACTAAATACACTAACTAGACAGGAGAAGTTACAAAAGCGGTCTGAACTTAGCGTGCTTATCATTTCACTTTAATTGTTCATAATGCGCATACTTAATGAAGCGACACAGAAATAATAATTAGTTACTCCCTAGCTTGCATTTCCTAGTTTACATTTTTCTAAGTATTTACCTTTACTTTGATTTAATTGATCAATTTGATTTCTTGATTGGTTTGATTTAAAAAGGATAGTTCAGCTTATTATGTGAAAAGCAGGTTAAAAGGTATATAAATGACCTTTTGGATTGTGATAAGCAAGGCTTGGCGGAAAATCTCGAATTAACTACAGCGAGAAAGGTTGAGGTCAATTTCCCATCTATGTATTACTTCGAATACTAAGAAAATATTTGTAGGCAAAATGTTGAGTTTTGCGGTTATAATGTACCTCATCCTTTGGAGGATAAAATACTAATCCGTTTGCAAACGAAACGTGGTGTGCCAGCAGCAGATGTGCTGATGAAAGGTTTTGAAGAATTAGAATGTGTTTTCGGTTCAGTAAGGCAAAAATTTGATAGCTCTTATGAGTTATATGCAACAAATACTACTGACTGAGATGGATTCGACTTTGCAGAAATGAAATCCTAATCCTTTGCGAACAAAAATAGGTATTTTGTATGTGCCAACTGTGTCTTGTTTCGTAATCTTAATTATTTGCACGAAAAGAGTTGTCATCTGGAAAATTAGCATATGTTGTTGCATAACATTATTCTGTTTTGCTGCTAATGTTTCCTGATAGATATTGGTTAATTTTCGGGACAGCAATTTTCTAATTTTTTAGTTATTAAATAAAGTATGTGTGTTTCATCTTTGTCATTCGTTGGTGCATTTGTTGCCTTTTATAGTACTTTTATATTTTATATTCAAATCTTTAGACGTTTTTGATTGATAAAAGGATAAGGAGTTCAATGTACCTAGAATTTTATCCATTCAAAACAAAATGTTAAGAGTTGAAAAGGCATATGGCGACTGATGCTTTAAATGATCAGCGGTAGTTCTATTCATATTAAATTCAATTCTTAACATTGGTGGCAGGTATGCCGAGTGAAATAATTGCTATACAATTTGGTCAATGTGGAAATCAAATAGGCGACGCATTTTGGCGTGCATTATGTGCCGAACACGGTATTGCATCAAACGGTGTGCCTATACAGAGTGACCTTGACGCGAAGGATTTGAAACGCGTTTTTTTCTATCAGGTACATCCATGTTCAGATACTAAAAGATCAATATAATTCATTGTAGTCAATTCTTTTCTTATTGGATGTATTTTTTTTTTTGAGCAAATAGTGTGTTAATCCCATACTGGGGACAGTTGCATATTTCTAGTTTTTGATGATGAATAATCGCTCTGGACGTTGAAATTCAGCTTATATTGATAGGCAGACGATGAGCGTTATGTTCCACGTGCTGTTTTGGTGGATTTGGAACCACGTGTTATCAATGGTATTATCACTTCTGATTATCGTACACTGTACAACATGGAGAATATCTTTATGTCGAAAAGTGGTGGTGGTGCGGGAAATAATTTCGCTAGTGGCTACAAGCAGGGAAGGTAAGATTTCTTCGTTTCCTTAGTATGAACGAAAATATTAAAAGAATAGCGTGTAGTTTATAACTGTGTTTTCTGTGTATCATTTTTTAGGGGAAATAGTGGTGTTTTTTCGATTTGCCCAAATTATTGGAATATTCTCCTGTAAAAAATGCAACCAAGAAATTCAGCGGAAGAAAATTGTTTCTTTTAATTAGTATCTTAGGTAGTTATTTTATAACTGTAATAAAAGATGCGGCACTTCTAAGATAAATTAAGTTACTTGTCAAAAGGAGAATTATCACTGGACGATTTGTCAAAATATCCCAACTTAAGAATTCATAGGAACATAGTACTTCATTTATTTTTGTTCCTGAATGAGAGGAGACGAGATCACAGTTTTGACTATATAAAACAGAATGTTGTAAGGGAAGCACAAGAAGCGTTGTTTGATATTCTTGAACGAGAAGCTGAAAACAGTGATTATCTGGAAGGGTTCATGTTATGTCACGCTATAGCTGGTGGTACTGGTTCAGGAATGGGATCTCATGCACTGGAAAAAATAAGCGACAGGTCAGGTTTCTTCTAATTCTAATTATTAAAAAAATAACCATATTAGTGCTGCAGTTAATAATGTAAAAACGTGCAATGAAAAATGACAGAGTTCAGTTTCTGAACTATTTCATGTGAACTTTGCAGATTCCCGAAGAAATTAGTCCAGACCTACTCGGTTTTCCCGGTGATGAGGAAAGGCGAAGCGAGTGATGTGGTGGTACAACCGTACAATTCTATTTTGACATTAGCTCGACTAATAGAACATCCAAATTGTGTAGTTGTGCTTGATAATACAGCTCTGCATCGTATTGCAAGTGAAAACGCGTCGGATAGTAATTCGTCATTTTCTCACATAAATTTCATGGTAATTCAATGGGAAATGTGGAACTGCACAGGCTTGTATTTAGTAGTTCATCACTGTAATACAGTATTCTTAGTGGGAGCACGAGCCCCATAACTATAACTGTATGCTACGGTGACACATAAAAATTCTAATTTTTGATTTACACAGGTTTCGCGAATTATGTGTGCATCAACAGCAACACTGCGGTTTCCTGGTGCCATGAACACTCGACTGATCAATCTGATTGCTCCATTGGCAGCATATCCACCAATGCGTTTTATCCAAACAGGTTTTTTGTTGCATATGTTATAACTCACTTGCAATTTTATCGTTCACTTTTGATATTCCATTAAAACTTTTTAGACTTGAAGTGCATTCCATCCTTTACTGATTCGTATTACTCTATACGACCTTCTAAGTGGATTAATTTTATTGTTTGTGCTTTATTTGAGTTGTATCAAACTCTTTTGATTTTAATCAACTGGTCAGTTGTTACTCGTGACTATACTAGAAAACTTGAGATGGGAAATGGTGTTTGGGAAACTTTGAATACTTCGAATCGTTGTTCAGGTTTCACACCACTTCGTGAAGGTGATACTACGGTGATGAAAACTTCAGTTGGTGATGTACTTCGGCGTTTGCTGCAACCAAAAAGTATGATGAGTAGCGCTGTAATGGAAAAAGGAATTGATCATTGTATGTTATCCGCCTTGGCTATACTACAGGGTAGAATTGATCCCACCGAAATTTATTCATCACTGGCAAAGATTAAAGAAAGACGTGATATAAAGTAAGCTCAATTAAGCCTTTTGCTTCACTCTTTCAGCTACTTATTTCTCTGCGTATTTGAGCTGCAGTTAGTCTAATCAGTGAGTGGATTAAGTTTTTGGATAAATGAATAACTCCAGAGATTTGTATGTATGTAAACGTACCCCAGTAAATAATAGCACATATTATATTCCGGTTAATTTTATTTAGTATTTCTTGTCAAAAAATGTCCAAAAAAGCATGTGATATTTCAGGTTTGCACCGTGGGGTTCAGGTTCACTAAATATAACTCAGTGCCGTCGTTCACCTTATTTACCAATGACAAATAGAGTTTCCGGATTGATGCTTTGTAATCACACGAATGCAGCAAGTCTTTTCCAAGAAAGTTTGAATCAGTGCGAAACGCTTCTCAAGAAGAAGGCATATTTGGATCAATTCTTAAAAGTAAGAATTATTTTCAGAATAGTTTGCGAAAGCTTTTTATTTATTGGGGAGATGCCCACTATTAATCATGTTGGGAGATCTAATGAATGACATAGCTCGAATTGCCAAATTCACCCATCTAGCATTTTTTATATTATCTCTCCCTTTTTTGGCAATGGAAGTCCTTGTTTTACTGACAATGGAAAACGAAGTATTTAGAATGAGAATCATTGCAAGTTGATTAACAATGTATTGTCTTAATATGATTAAAATGAGCTTTCAGGAAGATCCGGATATTATGGCTATGTTGAGTGATGCAGTTGAACGTGTCAGAGAAACCGTCCAAACTTACAGAAATGCAACGAAGCCCGACTTCATAGAGATAAACTGAGTCTTTATTTTTTACATACCATCAGGATTTTTATCAGAAAATGAAGCTGCTTTTGCCAATCAGTGAATAGAGGAAAGTAAAGAGGGGATAAGGATGGTTTCTTTTGTGCCCTTTTCCTACTGCCATAATAATTGTCATGAAATAAGTGAGGTTTCGATAGACTAGATATGGTATTTTAAGAGCTCTTGTTTTGAACTGAAATTAGAATTTCCAAATTTATCCTACTGTTTGATGAACCGTGTGAGCGCTCGTTTTTTAAATTTAATTAATCTTAATGGTTTTCTTGATTGAATCAGTTAACGTAGGCCTATACGTTATTCTCTTTTCATTCTTTTCGTTTACGCGCAAGAACTGATCTCCGTACAACATTAAAAATTCTACTTTTTGTGGTTTAGAGTTTGAATTGGTTATAATGATTACTAATTATATATATAGGACATGCTTAGTTTATTTTTTTAAAGTTTTGATGCTGTAGTTAAATAAAAAGATCTCCAAGGTTTTAGGCTGATGGGAAATAATCCCATATTGCTACGTATCTATTAGTTTCTCTTAAAAATAATCTACGAAAAACTTTTCTCGGATGTTTTTGCTGCATTTGATCAGTGATGTCATGAATCCAAATTTGGTTTGAGATATACTTCCAAGTTTCAAAAATATGTTAAAATTGTTTTATCCTGTTTCGTCATCCTTTAAAAGTTTATTTTGGTATAGCCAATGCAATATCTCTGCTTTTTCTTTTACTTTTATTTTTTTTGAAATAAAAGATGCAAGGAGCTGTTAACGTTGATCTATTCGTAACGAGCGATTCAGGACTTGGTTATTGCCGAATTTCTTGTTCCGTCTTTTTCTTCCCTCGAAGGACTCAACGGTGGGCTATAACGAAGCAAACATATCAGAGGATCTGGAAACAGATTTCTTTCGGTATTTTTTTCTATCAATAAGTTTGATCTTTTTTCGATCTAATGGCAAATTATCTGGTCACTAAGTAGATTGTGTTCAGCAGTGACAGCGTGACTTTATATGAAATGTAATATGGGAGGAGAACGCAGAATGGAGTAAGATGTCAGAGTATTTTGTCTAATCTAGTTGGGTTAAAAATGATTGGGATTCCTTTGCTAGACTCCGGATGCACTGTGGGCCTTGACTATGATTTTAATGCGAGCTGATGATTTCCTACTGAAATGGAGCGCACGATACTTCTTTCATCGTTCATCAGCTCTGAAAGCAATAATAGTAAGTGGATGTTGTTGACTTACCTGATTTCCGGCGTTCGTGGTAATCCTTCGTTAATTTTTGGATCCTCCAAAAAAAAAAAATACTTCCCGCTGAGTTTGAAATGCTTATCGAAGAAATCGAATGTGGATGTACTGGAAAGTTTAATGACTATGCAGTGATTATATTTCTTATGGATCAAAATCAGGCAATCTTCACTCCGGATTTAGTAGAATGGTCTGAGGATGAAATACAAGATTTCGGCTATCAAATTAGTTTATCGGATCTATCCCATGATTAAATTGCTAATTGTACCTTTGGGATGAGAAATGAAAGCCAACTTTTGTGAACTTTTGCTTCCAGGAAGCAAAAACCTAGGAAGAAACAAGAAGAAGCACTTACTCAAAGGAGTTAATCATGTTGGAGACATTAAGCAGCGCTTTCAAAGCTCTTGTCAATTTTTCGCCATGCAGGCGGTACCAGTCTCGAGTTAACATTCCGACAGTAAACACCAAGATGCCCAAGAGAATTTGCTCCGTTTTTGCACTTCGCAGCGCATGCCATACAAAAGAGTTCAGCAGTAAGCTGCATTTAGGGAATTGCTGCGTACTGATAACTGGTAGGAGAATGATATCTCACTTCCAATTTTAAATTTAGATAGATAGGGATTGCTTTAAATATCCTCGATATCTCTTCTATTTAAGCCTAATTTTTCGAGAATAAGTGGATACTATCATATGGAATGTTACATAATAGAATTTAAGAAGAAAAAGAAAGCTAACCAAATGAATCCTAAACTAAGCAGTACTGCCACCGTTGCAAGTAGCCGAGTTTGCACAATTTGTTTTTTCCTGAAAAAATTAGCTCCCTTCGCTTTGTCCAGAAAAAGATTTGGTTCAGATTACGAATACTCATGTTTTAGTATATATATATATATATAAGAAACTTTCAGACGTGAATATCAATAGAATTCTAGATATTCTATAAAAAAAAAAAGGAAATACCGACAGCAAAAGGTCTAAATAATGTTAAAACCGGATGGCGAGATGCGCTTCTACAAGCAAACGAAAGAAGCTTCGTCATTTGTGTTCTTGATACGGATACGAGTTCCAAGTGTCAACAAATGAATATTTGCTACTTATGAGTGATTGGCAAAATAGTCGTAATAGTGCTATTGCGAAAGAAGACACAGAATTTTGCAACATTCTGATGAGAAATTAAGACTTAATTTCCAGTAATCTTCGATTTCCTTCAAGAACATTTCCGTTGACTCAGAAATGCTACGAGGAGATAGCTTACCGAATGCTGAAGGTGATAAGTTTTGAAATTTTTAAATCTCAGCTTACATCACTGCTAACGGTGCGGATGACTTGCTTCGCATATCCGGTTCAGAATCTGTTCCTTCAAGAACTGCTACGTCTGATGTCGTCAAGTTTACTTTTACATGGCCACTAAATTACATTGCTCTCAATTTACAAATTGCCGGATGCAAAGCACATTTGAAAATTGGGCTGTTAATTTTGCAGCACACAAATGCCACATATTTTGAAGTGATGATTTCAGCGAGTGTTGGTTCAAAATGGTCTGGGACATGCTAGATATTAAATAGTTTCATTCAGTAATAAATTTATCATTATTAAAACCGATTGGTCCTCCAGTTTCTGAGAACCTGAAAAAAATAACCTCTCCTGCTACGTATAAATTACTCCTAAAATTATACATCGAAATGACGTGCCGACTGATATATAATACTACCTGTCAGGAAATTCGTAATCCGGAATGTCTCGTTCATCTTTCACATAAGTGGTAGCTATTGCTTTACCAACCTTTTCATTTTTTGCCATAGTAAACAATGCGTACTCTTTGAATACACTCATATTTTTAGGGTTGAATTTGGGCAGAAAATCTGCATATTCATACGAAATTCGAATATTCCTCAGTGACCGCTGTTTCTCGCTTTTCAAGATAAAGCATAAATTTTATCGATACATTTAAGTCAAAAAAAACTAATACAATCAAATGAGATTGCTCTTCGTTTTCTAACCCTTCTGTCATTACTAAAAATCTTTAATTTAACATTCAACATCTCATTATTTATCTCAAATACTCTGCGTACCTTTATAAGTTCCAAATTCTTTCTCTCATAGTTTCCATCCATGCATATTTAATTTCACAATTTCTGGAAAACTATGACTTATTGCCTTCCTAAAAAACATGCAAGAATTAGCTGAACATCCAGCAGACTACATCACAATACCATCCGGAGAATCAACCTTCCCCAGTCCCAACGAAGATTATTTTATTTTGGCGAGATACTTTTCTTTAGCTATTCGTGCCTGGCTCTTTTGCAAAGTGACTTCCAGTGCCATACTTTCGATTTTTCGTATTTGGTCTGTTTAGGTTATACTAGTTCGGTGCTATGGGTTTGGTACTTTGCATTTAGCTTCATCTACTTTCTCACACTTTTTGTCTGATATTTCTCAGAATAAGGTGAAAAGGATTTCTCAGTTAAAATACGTCATTTTCATTTCTAAGCAAATTTTCACAAATTTTATGTGATTTCAAGAATTTTTCCAAAATCTACATTTTACCTTTGGGACAGTTCAAGAAAGAATTGAATCAATAGTACATTACTGATGGCTAGTAATAACTTCTGCCACAACAAGTTTTTCATTTCCTTTGGTCCCCTGAATGCTTTCTCATAAGTAATAGTGATTACTTCTGGCAATAATTACTTCTCTCCTTTTCTGATAATTTTCTGTCAGCTGTACATTTTAGTGTGCTTGTTAGTGATTATATGCTGACTATTAGTTCAGCATGCTTAGTTAAGCATTTCTTCACACCATATTCAGCTATCATCTTACAATCTTATCAGTCCTATTTCTCAAGATAAAGCAATGGTACGAGTATTCATTAAGTGGGGAAAGGAACGATTTGAAGTGGATGCAAATATGGAAGATTCGCCGCTCCAACTGAAATCACAACTATTTTCTTTAACAGGTGTGAGCCCGGATCGGCAAAAAGTGCTCGTTAAAGTAAGTTAAATTTTTCTCCTACTCGCTGTAAGTTGATATTTTTCAGTCATCGTTGACAGTCGTGCATTCTTAAGTGATCCTTTTAATGTTATATTTAATCATTTATAGAGTATGACAAGTGTTTTTATATGTAATATTTGCACACGGTATTTAATTTTAAATGTTATATTCTCAGACGTATTCTTTCTTTTAGTAAAGCTTAACGCTGAACTTCAATTAATGACTATCTTTGTTATGTCAGTAGTCGTATTATATTTTTGTGTTTTATTTTTTTTTGCTTTTCATATTGCACTTCTTTATCTTTCGCTATCGAACGAAAAAAACTTTCCCAGTCTTTGAACGCTGTGAAAATAAGTGGAAACGTAAGAGAAGACGTTGAATAAATTTGTGCCCTGTCTGAGGCATTTTATTTTCATACAAGTTTGTTCCTTGTCTGAGGCATTGGAAATTCAATTTTCAGGAAGTAATAGAACATTTTTCATGATTCATTCTTTCTTGTAATGCTTACAGGGCAGAATTCTTGATGATAACAGTTGGAACGGTTGTGACTTAAAAGATGGTATGGTAATGATGATGATTGGTAGTGGCGGCATAGTCCCACCACCTCCACCAATTAGCCATCCGGAGGAAAACTCTGACGGTATGGAAGCCGAGGTACTTTTTTTCTTTTTTTGTAGATGAGTGATCGCCCGCTGTAGGAACCAGGAGTTAATAGCTTAGCATTTGATTTAATCAATTAGGAAAATAAAGTGATTGCTTGAAACTATTATTAATAATTGTTTATGTTTCTAGACATCAAATTCAATTGTCCTGCCAGCAGGTTTGAAGAATCTAGGTAACACATGTTACTTGAATGCAACTCTACAGTGTTTCAAGGTAGGTAATACATGTCTGTTATTTAAAACTAAAATTGCTTATCGAAAGTACGTTTTTGGCACTGTATATATTATCAGTCTAGGTAATACCAGAACTAAGGGAAGCGCTAAACAAATATTCTGAATCAGTTCATAGTGCATCCGTTGATGGTGATAGTGGTTCAAAAGCTCTTACAGCTGCTGTTCGTGATTTATATCGGATGATGGATAATCAAAAGTCAAAAAGCTACGGTGGTGTTATCCCACTTATTATGATACAGGTTTGTTTAGTGGTTTATTGTACAAATTGTTAAGGTAGGCTTTTTTTCTTCTGCAATAAAAAAATATTTTTCAACTTTTAGAGCCAGTTATTTAGTATGCAGTGGTCTCAAATTATAGCGTGATATGTCATGAGAAACTCTAGAATTGCTGGAAAATATTATCGTACGTTGGCGACTTGACTTATTGTTAGTCTCTATAAATAATGAGTGGTCGGATGTTGTGAAACTTTTATGAACAGTTTTTAATCACAATTTATCTATTAAAGGTAGTACATAATGTCTTTCCACAATTTGCGGCACGGGATGAGCATGGATGGATGCAACAGGATGCAAATGAGTGCTGGACTGAGCTACTTCGAGCTCTTCAAACGCAGTTGAAAGTTGCAGGTGTCAAATTTCTACCTGTTACTAAAAGTACAACTAATCATGGATCACTTTTAATTCTCAGTTTTGATAGAGCATGGGAAATAAGCTTGTAGAAATGTTTTCTAGAAAGTTTTAGCAGCGGAGCCAAAAATGCATCATTTTTTACTACTAATAAAAGTTTATTATATTTTTTGTAGCCAAAATTTCAGCAAAACTAGTTTACCTAATATGCTGATATATTATTTTCTTTATATAGATCATGAATCAGCTTCGAAGGATCATTTGGCATCCATCGTTTCAAGATATATGGAAGGTAGGTTCAAGATTGAAATGAAGAATTTAGAATCCGATGCGGAACCTGTTAGTGTCACAAAAGAAACTTTTTTGCAGGTTATTCTTTTTTTGTTTTTATCCTCTTTTTAGAGAAGAGAAGGGTGATGACATTGTTATTAGTTAATCTAATTTCAGATTGAAGTGTTACGTCATAAATTTTTAAGAAAAAATACTTAATTTAAATTTCATTTCAGCTAAGCTGTTTTCTTGCCCAAGAAGTAAAGTATATGCAACTGGGCATTAAAAGTAAATTGACGGAGGAAATTACGAAAAAGTCAGCAGTACTTGATCGTGATGCTAGATATGAAAAAAAGACCTTGATTGATCGCCTTCCAGCATATTTGTCAATACAGATGGTTCGGTTTTTCTACAAGGAAAAGGATAAGGTGAGGTTCTGACTTTTAAATTTATTTATTTTTATTTGATTGGCTTGACTCGCTTAATGGGTCTTTGATTGATCAATCCTGACTCTTCTGCAGAATTTCAAGCAAATTAAAATTGATTTCGATGCATTTTTATACTGTTCTCAGTCGAAGTCGTTTCAGATTAACGCAAAGATTTTAAAGGATGTTAAATTTCCTCTTACGCTCGATTTGTACGATATGTGCACTTTCGAATTGCAGCAGAAGCTATTACCAGCACGTGATGCCTTCAAAGTAACAGTTTTTCTACAGATTATCTTTTTAGGAAAATGTTTCCAAATTTATTCTAGTCATTTCCTGGTAACATTGAATATATTTATGCGGGATATTTTTGTGCCTGAGTTCCAGAAGATGGTTTTTCTCTACATTATTCCAAACGCATGTTTCAACTATTTTTCAAATATATGAGATATTGCTTACCAAATACAATCTGAATAGTTCTTGAAGATATTCTTCATTTTGCAGGAAGAGGAGGACAAAAAAGTCGAAATATTGAGAACATCAAAAACTTCTGACGAGATAACGTTAACTTCCGACCGGGATAAAAGCGGAAAAATGGAAAAAGATGTTCCTTTTAGCTTTAGCGATGATCCTGGATCAAATAACAGCGGATATTACGAGCTTCAGGTTAATTTATACATCATCAGTTTATCTGAAAATATTTCCTAAATTTTGTTATTATGTACTAAGAAAATTCAAAATAACTTCTCGAAGGGTGGTGATGATATAGGTACGACATAATTCATCTCTGTGAAAACTGTTGGTAGTAGGATAACTCTAATAATGAAAGGTTTGTTGTCTCCATGTAATCTTTATTTGTCAAATAATATCAAATGTTCATCTTTGAAATTTTTTTTGTAATGTTATTATTTGAGGGAGTTATAACACACAAGGGTCGTTCAGCCAATAGTGGGCATTATGTCGCATGGGTTCGCTTGAGAGGAAACCATTGGGCGATGTGCGACGATGATGAAGTAAGTTGCTGAATTAGTTGGACTTTATCATCTTATGGTTGATAATAAATTTTCGATTTTTTTATTGCATAAGTTCTGTGTTTTTTGCAGGTGCACCTAGTCAATGCGGAAGATATTTTGAAATTATCCGGTGGAGGTGATTGGCATTGTGCGTACGTGTTACTTTATGGTCCAAAAATATTGAAGAAGTGAAGTTCGCATTGTTTATGAATTTTCATTGTGTTTGTCAGTCGTGCTTAGGCATCTTTATGTTTTTTTGGACACTTACCAAGCAATATCGCAGGATATTTTTTTATTTGATTTAACGCCTTGATGTATGAAATACACGCATTTATGAACGTTTGTTGGACGATCAGCATGCATTTTTACATCTCGTTGTGTTATTTCATTCCATGCTGTGTTAAAGTATATTTCTAATTAAAAAATGAGAAAGCTAACTAAATTTTGGAAATATTTTTATGAGACCTGTAATCCAATATCTTTTATTTCGTTCTTATATGCATCCTTCGTAACTTATTGATTTGATTAAAGTATTTCCAGAAAACAAAAAAACACGATTATGTTAAGCCAAAGCGAAATTTTATGAAATTGAAAGCGATGCCAGTTTGGTAGTTTTTGTTCCCTTTATATTTTGTTCATATAAATCATACAAAATCTTTGTATCTTTCAAATTTTCCTTTTTGATTTTTCAGGAAGAATTTTTCTCTTTGAAGATGTTAACATAATGTGAGTTTGTTTGAAACATGCAACAGTTCTTTCCAATAATAACTTCTTATGTATTTTTGTTGATTATTTGTTGCTATAAAATTTTCCGTCTGTCGTTTAACTTTGAAGTAGTTATACAAAGGTGAAGAAGTATTGACCGTATTTCTTTGACACGCAGCAGCATTCTCAGTATTCGTAATCATGGTTTCGTGGTAACGGTGTATGTTAATGCAAATAGAGTTTTTTTTTTTCTTTTAAACTGGTTAAGATGTAAGGAATTTGTAAATATTAATGTATTTGTAAACTTGATGGATGTTCGAGCGTCTTCGTCATGTTGCCACTTTTTATTTTTTAATAATGCATAACCACAGTTAACCTTACCACTTAAGTAAGCTAAGGACGTTCTTTCGGAAGTCAGTAATTTACAGTAATGTTGGGACAAATTGTTGGATTTTCGGTTGCTTTAAATGATCGGTTTATTCTGATGAATTAAGAATCTGAGAGTGACAGGAATCAATTTTCACAGTATTACACGGCAGGGATTGTCGCTTTGATGGTATTGAGGAACAGTTTGAAACTAGGTAGGCCTTATAGTTAATAGCACCATTTTATTGTAACCAATCGACCTAGTTGTTGGTGATAAATTTTTTGAAAGGGAATCTGTAGTTGTGTGGTGTTAGATTTCCATTTCTGGTAGAACCTGTTTGTCATTCCATCGAGAATATTCCATACCATTATGCTTCTATAATTGGTCATCAGGTCGTAGTTTCTTTTTTTTAGTTTGTATTTGCTCGAAAAAAAAAGTTACTATTGGTTCTGTTATGTGGTTTGATTTGGACGAAAGAAAAACATGGTGGCATAGTTTGGCGAAATGTTTCCTCAGGCTCGGTCCGATTCCAGAACATATTGCTTTCATTATGGACGGCAATCGACGATATGCCCGCAGGCAACGGTATTCGTCGTTTACTGAAGGTCATCGCAAGGGTTTTGATAAGTTAACAAAAGTAGGGATTTTCACATCCTTTTTTTCTCTATACCACTAATATGTCAATATTGTCATTTAAAAAAAAATGTAAAGCAGAGTGTGACTTGAAAAATGTTGAGATAAGACTGTTTATTGCAGGTGATGCAATGGTGCCGAGAATTTGGCGTGAAAGAAGTGACCGTATATGCGCTTAGTTTAGAAAACTTTAAGCGGAGCGCAACCGAAATTGACGATTTGTTGACGTTATTCGATCACAAACTTACAGATCTTCTAGATGAAAGTTTAGTGTTTCTCCATAGTTGCCATAAAAAACCACTGAAAATATTCGTTACAAATAGTACGCACTATTGGTAAAATCAATCATTTCTTTAATTGATTTTGGGAGAAAAACTGTAGCGAAAATATTCGTGTTTGTTGGATTTCTCCCATTACTAAACAAATCTAAAAATAATATTTAATAATTGCTCCCTTTCATATTTCACTGTTTTGATAAATAAAGTGGCTTCAACGATATTTTAGGGATAAACTTATTGAAAATGGTATTCGTATTCAATTTTTTGGGAATTTAGAACACCTTCCACCAAAGCTTCGACAGCAGATAGCGAGAATTGAATTGTTAACAAGGGAACACAATAGGTATTGCTATTCCTGCTATTTTATGTTAGGGTTAAAGTAAAGTAGACTACATCGTCCACTTTTTTCTCGCTGAGGCCGTTTAGGAATGCAATCGCTTCACGTGCTGTTAGAAATCTGTTCAGTGAAGTTCTAGAAATGCTAGCGCAAAACTTGTATAGGCCAACTTAATCAGCAGAGCATTGAGTAATGCATGCGAAATTGGTATTTTTCCATCACTTCTTTGGAATGTAACCGTTTTACATACTGTTTTCATCTACCTTCATGTGCGCGTAACCGATTTTTCTGATTTTTTTAGTAGATGCTGGGGCTCCAAAATGTCAATTCAAAATATTAGGGACTCAGTTTTGAGGTGAACTAATTAATTTTACATAAGGTGCGAACTCTCCTTCCATTTGTATAGTTTCTTTCTAATACAAAGTAGAAACTGTGTAACATACTTCACAATGTTCAGTGGCACAGTGAATGTATGTATTGCCTACACAGCGCAGGATGAACTAAAAAGAGCTTTTGTTACAATAGCTCATGGCGTCCAAAAAGGTATGTTGCTTGTAAACCGTTGTATAGCTTAATTTACAAGATTATGTTTTTTTATTTATTTATTGGCTAAATGATGAACATTTAGAAAAGAAATAAACAAAATTACATTCTTATTTATCATTGTTGAGCTCACATCTAATTTCCCTTAAAAAATATTTGCATTTTAGGGTTACTGGCAACAACTGATATAAACGAATGTTTAATATCACGTTGTCTTGATAGTCGCTTCTCGAATGATCCAGATCTGCTGATTAGGACAAGTGGAGAGACACGACTGAGTGATTTCCTACTATGGCAGGTACAGTTAGCGAAGAATCATCTTGATATCATCTTTGACTTTTATTTTTTAAAATAACTTTTAAACGAAAAATAAACAACTCACAATGTATCCTTACTACTTACTATAAAACTCCTTTTTCTAAATTCGCTTTTCTTTGCTATGAATTTTCCAGCATCATATTTAAAGAACATGTTTAATGGAAAATGAGTATTATGTTGCTAATTAGAGGAATTTATTTAAGAAATTAAATTAATGCATGTTTCCAGTGCTCCAAATGTCATATCTATTTTGATGAAGTGCTGTGGCCAGACTTTGACTACTGGAATCTGTGTAAGGCAATATATTTTTATCAACAAAGTCAGATACCCTTAAAGGTTTTTTGTTGAATCGTTTTGCAGTTAATTAAAATAATTTGGTGGCTTGATTAACTACATTAAACCTTGGTCTAGATGATTGCAAGGACATTTGCAACCCCGAAAATAATATGTGGTAAGGTTGTTGAAAATGTCGTCTCTTGATCAAGGGAGTCGTTGGAAGGTCATTATGCTTTAACATGGGAACCTTGAAGTTTAACTAGTACATATGATATTTTGTTGCAGCGGTTAAATGAAAACTGCTTTGCGGAACAGAAACCAACAAATAATGAAAATGTTTTGGAGTTCCTCCGCTGGGCTGATGAGGAACGCTTGGAGAACTTACGACAAATGTCCGAGGCAATATGTTAACTTAAAGGATATCTAGACGACGTTTTTTGCTTGAATAAAAGACAAAAGTAGTTTTTTTCATTCTCGATCCACTAATTGGTTTGTTAATAAAGTAGCAACAAGGTTAAGGCAGGGAATTTCCAGTCCTTATTGTGTTTTCAAGCAGAAAATAAACCTCTATTGCTTCTTTTTTTTTGACTAAAAGTGCGCCTATAAAATTACTAAAATCACACGGATTTGTTGCAACACTCATCATAAATCAGTTGAAACTGGTGTTTTTTTATGAGCTAACCACAGGAAGGCAATACTGATCAAAGCTGAAACGAGGAACATGACGTCGAACCATCGATGATAAAAATTGAACTGCAAGTCCCCCAAAACGACAGTGATGCTAGATCTGAAAGAAATTTTCGTCACTCTTTCCCTCATTCATATTTTCGTTCTTGAAACATTAGCGTCTTATATGTTAGACACTCTATCTATTCGTTCCATTTGGATATCTCTTTGTTCACGGAATTTATATCGTTCTTTTAAGTTTAATTAGTAAATTAAATCATGGGAGATATTCGATCCTTCACTAAAACAGTGATAAAATTTTTGCTTTACATGCATAAAAGTGCATATACAATAAGTTCATTAATAATAGCAAACCTATATTGATGAGGCATGTTCATCCGCATTAAAAGTACACTTGACACAAAGTACATGCCCTGAAAATATGAGAAATTGCATACTATTCAAGAAGCTGGTGGAAAGCGGTCGAGTAACTTTAGCTTTGTGTTAATTGAACCGGAAGAAATGGATTAATCATATACTAGTTATTGTACCTTATTAACGCCGAGAGTGCTTCGACAAAAACTGGCAATATTCCTCATTTGTTCGATGGTTGCGGTTTTATTAGATGATTGTAAAAGTATCCTATGCTTACATTTCGATTCAAGCTACCCCAGTAAAGGATTAAATACCCTAATAAAAGGTTCAATTTAATATATCTAGTGGAAAGAAGTGTTAGTTCATATTCTTTCAATGCAAACGAGAGAAACTTGGACTGTTTTATTTTTTTGTACTGCCACGACTGAAGCTTTTCCTGAAAGAAAGCATGAAATCAATGCTTACCATAATATGAGCAAGAATAAGAACAATCAGGTTAGACGACTTGCTGCTCGAGATCATGTAAAAGAATTTCGTTAGGGTTATCAAAAGGCCTCGTATTGAAGTTACGGCGATAACACCTACCAAAAGAAATGATATGTATTGTGACCAAAACCGAATCTGAAAATGTGCTTTATAGTAATTTCAATTTTAAAATTCTTCAGTTAAGCTTGTGATAGCTAATTGAACGTTAATCTCAGAGTAATTTCCAGGAAAACCAAGTGGGATAAGAATGGATAAGAATCCGTGTCCACCGTTATAATAGATAACAATCTTCATAAGCAGAAAGCTTATACACGCATTTTTATGCAACTCGCGGTCAGTGATGAACATATTAAATAACTGGAGCAGACTTACATCAAGCTGAAAACCTATATAATTAACAGCAATCTCAATTCCTCTCGTAACTGGATCCACCTTTCCAACTCGATCGAAAACAATATTCACCGTACAAATAAAAATTTTCCATATACAATAAATGGAAAAAAAATGGCCCACTACATTGAAATACTGTCCTTGCCATGTTTTACTATATTCCATACGTTCCTGAAAAAAATAACAATGAAAGCGAAACCACTAACAGAAATACAGGAGATGCTTGCATTTCTAAGTATGAAGCCGTGATTTACAATGAAGCCCTGGAAGCTTGCATTTCAGCTTCATAGGGAAAAAAACCGGATTCATACTGGAAAAAATCATCTAGAACTTGTTCAAATGCATCTTATCAAGCTGTCTTATCACACCGTCCAACCTTAACATGCTAAGACAAAAGTCTTTATTTTTAGATTTATCGCACCTCATTCCACTTCCCAAAATTCTTGCGTGTGCTGTCATTACTTTAGCAACAAAAGTCAGTAGAAAAAGAACAAAGTAGACTACTAGGTTCATCGACATTTTTTATCACAATCTTGAAAATTTTTCATACAAATAAAGAAGCACCCACTCGCATATTCCGTAGTTCAACAATTTCTAGAAATAAGTAGCGACTGAGTTCTTCCAGAGGTAATATTTCTGAGTTAAGCATGCTGCAAAATTATCTCTTAAGAATTTCGAAACGAAAATTATACCAAATTCTATATGAAAGAGAACAGATCAGCAGAAGTGAACAATGGAACGAAAGTTGCTAAAACTTGGAACCTTATCTGGTCTTTCAATGAACTTGAAGAAAATGATACTGAACCCCAAAGTTTGTGCAGGAGACCTCCTTGACTGTCACTTCCTAAAACAATGCATTACAAAAGTTAGGTAAAAACAACATATATGAAACCACCGCATAAATTCTATAGGAAGAGCAAATAATTCATGATTAATTCGTCATTTTGTTCAGCATAAATCTTAAATCCTATGCTTCATATCAGAAGATTTAGGATATTAGTTCTTTTATCTAATGGCTATGTTATTCATATGCTCTTTCTCAATCAGCAGTTGACAAAATATTGCAATTTTCATCATATCTAGGGAATGCTACAAATTCTGTCAAAAAACGATAAGAATTACTGAAGATAAAGGCTCATTTCTGATCGTAAGTGAGAAATACCTTGAGTAAAAGCGCTTAATGCAACTTCCTTTTCCAAAACGCATAATCGTTTTTTCTTGGCAACAACCATTTCCATAGTATGCATAAGCTTTCGTTCCATTTGCGTTATTTGTATCTGCCCAACGGGTCGCATGAAAAAAGTCATATAGCAGTAAGGAGCATTCACGGCACCAAACCCCGACAACATGGCCATAACTGTTACACCGATTACACCCACACGCGAAATTGCTTGTTCAATTGTAAATATACCTATAATCATTGGAAAAATAGCATGTAATCAAATTATGTAATCAAATTGTTTGATATAAGAATATGAAGGCTGTTAAATCTCCAAGGAGCTAAATGCTTCGGTATTAATGAAGTCAACATGTTTTTCTACAGTTTAATAGCTAAGATAAATTGAACATCAGCAGAATCTCCAATAAACTTGAAACAAGGGACGATAACGGATGAAGAAAAACTACGCTAACTGAAGGACAACTGTTTCAGTGCTCACATCTTACAAAAAAAGTAAGTTTTTAAAACGGTAGAAATTTATTTTTACCGTGCCGAGCGCTCAAAATTGGGAATGGATCACCTATTTTCCAAAAGAAATATATGAATATTATCCATGATACTACGGTGAGAGGCAATATCCATTTTGCTCTTACTGAAAAAATGAAAATGAAACTGCGAAACTGCCAATGATAAGAAGCTGCGAGATATGAAATTTCTATTTACGAAAGAAAACACTTGTCATGTCGACAATTCCACAGATTCCTTGAAAATTATGAGTAACCTTCCAAAAACTTTTTTATTCAAAAATACAGAATATTCAGCATCGATGCGAAGATATTTACTTATATCATGCTTGATCACATTATTTACCTTGCTTCTTTAATCTCCAGCCTTTGTCTAGAATTTACCTATTTTTCATTTGAAAACAAAAAAAGAGGAATTATAAGTTCTATTGAAATATTTGAAGATGAAGGAATGCAGAAAAATAAACGGAAAATAAAACTCACTGAAAGTAATTGATCGGAACAGCGAAAAAGAGCAATAAATTGGAAGAACTACAATTAATACGAAAAGTATTGAATAAAGTCCCAATTTCCAGTGCAAAAATCGGGTGCTGAAACTTTTGTAAAGGTGTGATAAAAAAATTTACTACAAATGCCCTACTTAATTACGCATTTTCAACAATAACTTCTCGGCACAATGTATTCATCAATCTAAAAGCAAATAGGAATTCTCAATAACCTGTGATATATATATAACTCTAAAATGTGAGTAATGCACAAACTCTCAAACTATCGGTTCTACTACCGAGGGGTAAACGAGTTTGGATTTTTCTTACCAAGATATTTCTAAAAGCGATCAAGACTCACCTCGGTTCCAAAAAGCCAATAATTTCAAAAATAATAAGTTCAAACATTGTACAAGACAATGCAAATGTAATGGAAAATAATATCTGCACTAGTCTTTTGTGTACTTCGTAATCGCGAAATAACTGTTTCATGAAAAAAAACCATCCAAACAAAAAGAAGATTACCTGAAACAAATAGCAACGATCCAAGTTATTCCAATCAGACTTCCGCATTGCTGATCAAATGACGAGAATACTAGAGAAATCCGAATGTACTTCATAAAATGTGATGTCCGAAATTAGAAAATGAATTCACCTGAGATAGTAGCATAACAACGGAATCCCACACCAAAGTCATGTGAGATGTCCAATTTCCACGAATCAAACATCGACCGCCACACTTTTCGCCAACACTCCAGTTTTTTGTCACCTTTTTATCACTGATGCCGCAGTTTTTGCCAACACTTCAGGTTTTTGTCACCTCGTCTATCATTAATGCTACAGTTTTTGCAATACTTTAGGTTTTTTGTCACCTCGTTTATCGTTATCTTCTTTCTTTCCCTCCTGCCATAATATATTATACTAGTTACGGGACCTAAAACTACTTCTGTGATGATGCTAAAATAAAAACGAACTCGGCTGAGGATATCATGTTTCTAACGCAATAGTGCAAGTTAGTATCGATTTAGAATTCCGTGTAATAGATAATATCTGGACAAGACTTCCCAAATTACAGATATCCACTTGAAAATTGACATGTAGTGCTGTTTTTTTTTGAAATAATAGCAAGTAATAAGTTACACGCAAATTTGGAAATGCACAAACTTGTATGAATTAGAAGAAAAATCTATGACAATCACAGCACATGATGAGATCAAATCAGCGATATCAATAATTGCATAAAATCAACAACCGCTTTAAAATATAAATCAATTTGTGACTATCAAGCTGCTAACAATTCTGAACATAATCATGTAATCATTAGGGATAGAATAATCAATACCTCATGCCCAAAACTACTTTTTTTAATAATTCAACCAACTCTGAACATACATCATAGTAAGAGCAATATAATCCAGAACATTTTCAATTCCTTCTCCATAAGAACTCCGACAATTAGAGCTAGTGAGCACAAACCCAAGCTTATGAGAATTTTTCGAAAATATTGTAGCAATTCAAATTCAATTTAATCTCTGTTTTCCTTGAGCAACTATTCCTAATAAACCAAAAGACTCCTGGATATTGAATAAATATTTTTTACAACAACGCCTGGATGATAAAGATGAAAAATATTAAAGAAAAGACAAATTTTAATACCACTAAATCAAGAAATCTTTATGCCATAAAAATAATCAATTATACACAGGAATCAATAATTGAAGTAGAAGTATTAACATAGACATGAAAGTATGAATATGAAAAGGGACAAAATACTAATATTATGAGAAAAAATATCTCGAACAAACTGTTCAATACAGGGGAACATTATTTTTCTGCATGATATAAGAAGCAACAAAGACGATTCTTTAAAGGATGTCGTGTAAGAAGTAATGTACTTCTGAAATTTTCAGTGGTCATTCGTAGTATCTCCAACCCAGCTTTCTTTGTTTGCCACCTGTAAGAACGGTTTAACTTTTTCCAAAAAATTTATTAACAACAAAGTAATAAAGAGATGAAATCTTACAGAGAAAGAAAAAAATTAAGAAAACGATTGTACAGTAGAAATAAATTATGAAAAAGAATGTCAAGGTAAGAAAACATGAAATGAATGTTTCATGCACATGCACAAACCTTAGTTGAACGTTGTTTCTATTCCAGTTCCTTTGAGAGTTTACATGACTTCACTCCAAGCGCACAAAAAAATGCAAGATGCTGCTTGTCAAGTCGTATCTCAGACTACATACCAAACAAAATGACACCTAACACCTTTAACAAATCGAAATAAGAAATACGTGATCGAAGACAGTGTTTTTACCTCAGCAATCTTTAATAACTCAAATTGCCTTCTTTGTTCACCAACGATACTTCGTCGCATTTCAGAGAGTTGCTGCAAATCTTCTAACTCAGCTTCTTTCTTCTTCAAATCCAACTTTCTTCTTTTTGTATCTGCAATGCTCATAACCTAAAGTACGTCATAGCGCTTTCCGTATTTCTAACAAGTGTAAAACGTTTTGAAGATCGAAAAAAGAACATGCCCTAGAAATTAGTTATATTTTTCAACGGACTTAATGACTTTTAAAAAATTTTATGATATAACTGATACCAGTCACTACAATTCGAAGAATGAACGTTATTATCCCTACAAGTTCGCATACTAAAACTTCTTTCATTAAAATTATGAATAGCTATGGTCAGTTTGCTGATATCGAAATCAGGAGACGCCGTGTTAACTAACTATCATATTAAGTCTTCAGAATAGTCGTTTTTAACAAAAAGCATGTAAAAATTAAACTGTTGCAGAATAGATTCGTAAAAACAATGAAATAAAATAGAATTATTGCTAATGCTATCACGTTGCATTTCTTCGACAAATGTTACTTCTTACCCATTTCCATTGCATACAGTGTAAGTAACAGATGTTCTTTTTCGGCGCGGTTTGCATTCATTTGTCCTGAAAAATTATTCACACTATCAATGAATTTTCATCATTTTGCCAAATAGTAGCGATAACAGCATTGCTTCAAAATACTTTACCTTTTAAAATACCTTCATAAGTGATTATGTTACGTACAATTTAATTCAGTTAATTCAGGGCATTTTAAGGAAATGCATTAAACAATTCGAAAAGGAAGTTAGTAAACTTAAAGGGTTAATTTTTAATTTCAATTTTCAAATTGCTCTTTTTAAGATCTCTAATCAAATTACCACTGTAAGATGATTTTAAATTGTTCAACTGCTCAACTGTGTTCACTATATTGACATGCATACGCTGGGTTTTCATATCACGTTGCTCCATAGAATCCTGTAATTATCGAAATCATAGCACGAATGGAATCAATGTGGAAAGACCATTGATACTAGTGGTTCTTTTCTACCAGAAACTTATAAGCTAGATACTGAGTGTTACGATAAGAAATAAGGTAGTTTGACTGATACAACTGCAATTTGTTGAACTATTAAGGATCGCTATATATTTTGATGCGTTGCAGTGCATGCACCTATAACACAAGAATTGTGTTTCTCTCATCTTCGAACGGAGCACCCATGATGACTGATGGATTACTGCGAAACTTCATATAATATAGTAAATTGCAAGTGAAAAGAACATACCTTCGCACTTTCGTCACTAGGAAATTTGTCTAAAACTGCTCGTACAGCAGAATATGGATCTGTCGTATCCATCTATTCCTGTGATTAACTTTCCTCAAATATGACTACAAAAAGTATCTACTATTAAATAAGGAATCTAAATGAGTTTAAATATGAAGCTGACGACATCGAATTATTTCTCAGATATGCTTAACGCCCCTCGCAAACTTGCGTCGTATTAGGTACGGCTCACATTCAGAGCAGTGAGAGGTTCGGTCATCGCATGAACGACTGTCGTCCGATCCTAACATGCGTTTCTTTTTAGACGTGAAACTATCCGAGTGGCGCAATTCTCGTATTATCTCATCACATACTATTCTTTCATCTCTCTTTCTTTTCTATCTCCTATAACCGTTTCTCTCTACGATTCGATCTTTCACCAGCACTTACCGTAGTATTTGAATTCAGGCATCTGCTCCATTTTCCGGCGGAGGACGGGGGGATTTTCGTCGTCCGGTTGAGTTCTGCTGGTTGGTTTCAGGTCGGGTTTCTGAATTTTAAAGTCCGTAACGTCACAGATTATGTTCGTAAATTCCTCTCAGTATCACAGTTTTTTCGGATGTTACGTTCAATGGTGGATGCTACGAGGGAGGAATGTCTGAAGCGAAGTAGAAGTAAGGTCGAGGGATATCATAATTCCATGCTGAAGTTTGGAGCCTCTGACATTGACATCAACCGAGGTACGATTTACTGGTACTTTTGGCTTTTAGTTGAAGATTTCAATTTCGAATTGCTTTTTGTCTTGTAACTTTCAGTTATGCTGTCTATTATTTGCAGTTTTCTAATCGAATTATTCACATTTATATTTTTCTTTTTTTAGGACAGTCTGTAATTTCGATTTTAATTCGAACCATTTAATTTCTGAGCATGTCTCACTTTTCAAACCCTATGCAGTCTACTGTTTGTGTTTTTTATTTGGCTTATTCTAGTTTCAATTCCAGATTTTTATTTTGTCTTTCACGTTTTAGTTATGTCATTTATGTTCATCATTCTTAATTTTTGAGCATTCTAGTTTGCAGTTAAGCTTGAAATTTAAATAATTGGCTCTTAACATATATGTTTTTTTAACGACATTATTGTTTGATGAGAAATGATGCATTGAAAAAGCTAAGTTGCATTTTATGTTTTATGATACTTTGATTAGTATTCGAAATATTTTTAATTCTTATCTATAATGACAAGCAAAGCAACTTGGCGAAAAAGTCCAACTCGGAAGAGCTATAATTGCAGTGACTGGCAGTTTGATTGAAAAGAACAAAAAATTGGCTAATTTATTATGTGATATTGAGCTACTAGAAGAAAAGTTGAAGGGATTGGAAGAAAAGGATATGGAGCAGAAGCTGCTGCATTTCAGGGTACTATTTCTGATTGAATTTCTAATTTTTCGCAAATGATATTGCCTTTTTTCTACAAATTTTCATGAAGTGAAAGAAAATTGAATTTGAATTTCTTATTATGACTTCTCAGTTTATGTTCTTTACTTTGTTTAAGTAAACATTATGGCATGTTTATGTACGAAATGAATTGCAGTAGCATCAGATCAGTTATTACTATTTATTTCTTCTTCACCTGTGAGAACAATTGCAGAATTTGATAAGGGACTTCAGAGTCAGCGGTAGTCCAACATATAATGGCGTAATGAAGAAATATTGCCTTTTATAAATTTCCAAAAGTTTTAACAGGATTATATTTTAAATTGCTTTTCACCTTTCAGCAATTAGGTGGTGACCTCGAAAAAGGAGACTCAAAGGAAAACGCTTCAGCCAGATATGATATGGATGGCGTTTTAAAATTAGGACCGATATCATGGAGCGGTAACCAAATACAATCCTATCGACGAAGATACAGTCTGCTTGTTGCGCAGTTAAAGGTTATTTTGTTATTTAATGCAAGAAAATTAGGGTTTCTAAATCCAACTTCTCCTTTGAATTGTACATTTACTTCCGCCAGTAGAGTCTTTATTCCCTTAAATCATTCTGTATTTTTTTTTGGCATGCGTAACACCGGATTTATCACAGTCTTATTAAACTCTTGGATTATCATAGAACTTTTGGGTTATTCAACTTTTGTGGCCTTTATCTTTCTGCTGATATTTCAGAAGTCTTTACGATTAGTTGAAACGGGTGAATTCATTTTGATTCCTCCAAAAACGCGTGGTCGAATAGGTCGTCTCGAACTAAATCAGGTTTGTTTGGTATAATAAAAAGTTTGGTATATAAAAATTTATTTTTTGTTTGGTATATGAAAAGTGTTTGGTATAATATGTCATTATATTTTTAAAGGCCAGATATCTGTGTAACAAAGCCTACACTTTGTTTTTCAAAACATGCATGCATCCCGATGTAGAATTTTCATAACGCTGTTTCAGTTTAAGACTAATTAAATTCCATTGCAGTTGTTAAAAAAAGTAAACGAAATTTTTTCGGATAAATATATATGTCAAAAACGGCCTCCTCTTGCATTGAACAATGCCAAAAAACAGGTGAAGCTTAATGTATAATAAAGTTTCCTTAGGCTCTAGATTAACTCTAGATTACTCAATAAGTTTTGATTAGTTGCGCAGCTCTCTTAAGCACTTCGAGATTAAGATTTAATTCAATGTTAAAATTTGAGTGGGATCGGAAATAATGCAGTGGTGTTCAAACGATCATAGTTCAGCTGATTCAGATTAGGCATATTTCAAGGCTATCATCATATGATTTACTTTCTATACTGAATTATAGGAACATGAAAAACTGAGAGGGCGCTGGTATATTGCACTGAATGAGCTCCTTGTTCGATTCACATCAAAAGAAAAAATTTCCTGGAAATTTGCGCTACCTTGTTTGATATATTTGAAACGACTCGAGGAATTACGGACAGATGATAATAATGTTTTCATTATAGCCATTTTATCCTAATTGTATCATTTTCCAACTTCATGTTAAAAAAATTAAATATTTTATCTTCCGTGACGTGTCTGCAAAGATTTTGTCTACTAAATCAGCATCAACTCTTATCATTTTTAATCAGTTTTCCTTGTTGACTGCATAAATGAGTCATTTCATTCCAGCACAACACTAAATGTCTTCTAGGATTTTTATGATTTCAAAGGAAACAATAATAAATAGAACTCGAAAATTTTTTGGTGCGATGACTTGTTCGTAAAGAAACAGTACTAAAATTGATGGTTTGAAAGTAATATCTCGACTTCGGGTTAGCTTTTTGTCCTTTTATTATAGAATTAGCGAGGGCCAATCTAAGCTTAAACTAGAAATAAATTCTAGCCACAGCAGTCACAGCTAATTTTTCCACTTTTGGACATGCTAATCAGCATATTGGTAACTGTTGGACATGGAGGATTGTTGTCTGATAGGTCGAAAATACAGAATTCTAAGTTTTCAGAAAGATAGTGCAGATGCTTATTTATGATGGATCTTAACTGAAGATAGTATAACTCTATGTCGAATTGTTGAAGTTTTTTATGTCTCTTCGTTAATTTTGTAAATCATAATTCAATTTCCATTTCGTTTAACGAATAAATGATTTATGTATTAATCCAAATTTGTTAATTTATGTCTTCATTGTCATTATTTCTGCATATATATATATCATTTGGAACAGAGGGTTTGAATTATCGATGGTTTGATCAGCAAGTGGTTTTTTCCGGAATGCTGTGAGTTGCAATTACAGTTAGGAAAGGCGTTGTTTTAGAAATATGCTAAGATTATTTCAGTTTTGGCTTTTTCACATTTGTTTGAAATACTATGGATAAAGTTCTCATTTTTTTTTCCAGATTTGATATTTTTTATGGATTAACACTAATGAATATTAGTCGGACAACACAGGCGCAGCGATATTCTGGTTCGAATTCAATTTAATTTTGAATTTTTTTCAAGTCATGCTAAAAATTGTAAAACTAAGTTGAAAAGTAAATTTTAGTTCGTTTGCATGTAGCAGAATCAACACGAGTGTTAGATGAGATAACACGAAAACGACGTTTGAGAAAACAGCTTGAAACTCTTGAACAGGTTTTTTTTTCGATATTGGTAGTCTATTCGTTTCAAAAATAGCTCTATGACAACTGGTTATATTATATAAATTTTAACTCGAAGATAGTTTTGAAGCATAGTTCTAAATGACGCGGGCTGGAATTTTAAAAAAAATTGAAATTAATTACTCATTCGAAGTGAATACTCATATTCTTATATGGTTGCGTGATTATTTTGTCTAATAATTTTGTATGTTCCATCAGCGTGTTGTTCTGTAACGAGTTATTTTCCTTTTATTAGGAATTAATAATCTGACTGAAGCTTCGGTGATGAAAAATTTTCCAGTTCATTGGAAAATATCATTAAGATTTCGATTTCTTAAGATCATACTGATAGTTTGGAACGATCATTTTCTTGCGCTCTATAACTGAAATTAATGTATCATAATTTTTTGACCATTCACGAAAAGTGAAAAATGATACTGTTTTTCTTTTTGTTAGCATTTAGTTTGGCAAATTGAAATTAAATGCATGATATAATTCAATTTTTTCCAGGACAATTTTCATGAAGACCCTCATGCACAATTGCAATGGCATAAAAATATTCCCAAATTCGAAGATGATGAAATGGGACAATCGTCGGCTCGTAAAGGAGATGTTGATTCAGGTAATATCCTTTTTTTATTATCTATAACCCATGAACTGTAACTTATTTTTGTCACAATTTTTATACGATTTTGATATCATTAGTGCACACAAAATGTATGGACTGATTAAGTTATCATATTTCATTTAATATCTATTACTAATTTGAATTGCGAATTCGGTATCTGTTTCTTGACTTTATTATGCTGAAGAAACTGTCGATAAATGGCCATCAAACTCTTAATATAATTATAATATTTCATTTCATGATTTTGTTTTTTGATTATGTTGCATTTTATAATTATTTGGACATAAATAATAATGCCTCGATTTTATGAGTAACGATTTGAACCCTGCTTGTAGGAAGGAAAAAGAAGAAATTCAAAATGGAATATTTCAAACAAAGATTCCGGAAAAATTTTTCGGCTTTAGTAGAGGAAGAAACGGTACGGATATCTTCTCCGGATGTAAATTGTCACTAAACATTTTGTTTAATTCTTTGGACTTATTTTTATCAAATTGTTGCACTTACCGAAGATTTCTATTAATTATTGTTGGAACATCACTATCTCATTTATTCATATTTATGCAAATTTGATTTTTCTGTTGCTAGTAATGAAAAAAGGGTGGAGTAGAAGTTATAGTTCGTAATGCTTTATAATTGGAGGTATCAAAATTGAATTGCTGTTAAGGTCTGATGCTTTTACATATTGCTTGCATTTGGTTTTATTTTTTTAAGCTGTCGAAGTCCATGGAAATTTCGGGTTTTGATGCATATAATGCTGCGCGGGCACCACCAAGCTGCATACCGCCGCGGCAGTTTTGTGCAGCATGCGGTTTCTTCTCTAAATACACTTGCATAAGATGTGGTGCGCGATATTGTTCAATTAGTTGTAGAGATCTGCATAATGACACCAGGTAATAGTTTGATTAGGCTAAGCTGAGTTTAAACATCAAAGGAAATTTTAAGTGAATTGTTTTTTGAACAAAGTTCAAGCAAGTTTAGGAGAGGAAGTTTTTAAGATAAGTCATTCTGGATTTATTATAACGAGTTTATGGCCCTTTGTGAAGTTTTTTTTTTTGATTCTTTTTAATCACTATTCATCTCACTGACACAGTCTTTTTCTATGTATGCCTGAAATGTGATTATTTTCCTATACAAGTACGACAAAATCTGATGCGTTGTAATCAGTCAACGTCGAATGACTTGAAAAAATTTTCTTTTCGTAAAGGCTCCCATGGCTCTTTGTTTTTCTCGACGTCTGAGATCGCATATTTTTTTATCATATAGCAAGTGTCTATGTTTTCAGCTATATGATCTGGAAATGTGAAATTTTGATGTTGTGTAATCGCGATTCCTCAAAATGCTGAATAGTTCTCTATTGATGTGAAGATAACGAAGTAGATTTTTTCCTTTCACTAACATATACGAGAAAGGCTTTCGGAAAGCTTTTTGCATCATTTTCCACGAGATACAAAGATAATTAAGATCATAGTCTTATAGTAAAGTTTGTATAAAGTTCGATATAGTTTTTGACGACTTATCGAAGTTACATAAGTTCCGTTAGTCCAAGAATATTTATTATTTTTTTTTGAAGAATCCGAAATAATATTATGCAACAACAAAGATTCATATTTTCATATCTTTCGATAAGAGCTTAACGTTTGTTAAATGATCGAGAAACAAGCTGAGTGTGTCTCAGACGGTGGGAAAAAGAATAAATTTAAAAAACTGCCAAACTTTTTGGAGAAACAAAATTATTCATTTTCAAGACAGAGAAACTCGACTTAGTGCACAACATTAGATGTCGTTAATTTGAAGTGATTTCTGGCTGATGCGGGATCCTGCAGCATAATTTTGAGGTAGTTGACACAGATCTCTAAATTACATTTGCAGGTCATATGTAAAAGGTAGAAATGTTCAGGATTTGTGTCAAAAAGTCGTGAAAGTTTAAGTTCCATCTATAAAGTCATAGAATCTGAATGAAGAACTTGTATAGAGCACTTCGAACCATCTCGTCAAATTCCATTTCAAAAATTATCCATATATATATATATACTGAGTTTTAATGATGCAGAGTCTAAAGACGTTGACAGACAAATGTTCTTTAAAGAGATTTCAGACATTTTCCCACGCTTTGTAAATCTGTTTCGAAATGTTGTGTTATCTGAGAAAAAATATCTCACCCTTACCAGTAGAAAAAATGCTTATATCAACAATACGTTAATTGTCAGTGGTCACGTGGTTGTGAGCACACTGATTTTGAATTTAGAGATTTTCATTAATGCGATTGTAATTTAGGTGTTTGAAATGGACAATGTGAGGGAGGATCTCATTGAACGGACTGGAATAAAATGGAAATCCTAAGAAATTCGCAATCGATGAGTATAAACTTTCGCAATAACTTCTCCTGGAACTATTGTTTAATTTTCAAAGCTTTACTTTTATTTATGGCTGTTGTTACTATATGTTTTTGAAACAGATATGAACAGGAAAAAGATGCATTACCGATGAAGAGAATATACGACACTTCCCAATTTATCATTCAGCCATTTTCTATATTGTACGTAAGAGAGGTGAGGGTAGGAAAGAGTTGACGTTGTTGTAATATGGGGAACGGGTCATCACCTTGTGTGATCCCCAAGTTGGCCTCTTTCCTTTTCTCTGTTGTTGAAAATCTCCGCCTGTTAGTCTTTTGCTTTATCTTGCTTGTGATTGGTTTCCCGATACATACGACGATGTTTATAGGTACCCACATAGAGAAGGTGATGGTCAAGAGCCCTCATCATGTGTCGCCGTTCTCATTTTTGCCTATTTTGAGAAGTGTAGTCATTTCTTATCGCGCACTCTCAATTTGATCTATTATAATGTATTCGCAAATGGTGCTACTTTCCTTATTCACTTGTCATGTGAAAGAATTAGGTCTTGAAATATTTGAATTTTGACAATTCTGATATTGCACCGTTGATAATCGCCAGCAAAAGCAGTCAGTGATATTCTGTAATAAAGAAGCTAATCCAATTAGCAGTTTTATGTCCCATTATTTGATAGATGGAAGAGAGGAGAACAAAGCCCAGGTAAAAGTGGCCAAATGTGTCTTGAGTCACTTTTGAGGAATGCACATTAACATTCCTACCTTAACTTTATTACTGTTTTGCAGGCCTTGCTAGTTAAGCTTTTCGTTAATCCTTTCATTACATTCTATTTTTAGAACTTATCAAATATTCGAAGATTACTGCTGCTCAGGTTTGTTCTGTTACTCTCCAACATTCCACTGCTAGTTCTAAGTGAAGTAAGTACATATTCGTTTTAAAGCATATCTGTTGGAGATGTGTGTATGCTTTTGTGGAATATAGAAAGTATGCAAATTGTGTAGGGGGGTAACTCATACACAGATTTTCGAGAAGTGTATGAATTTGATTTATCTAGTTTAGTTTAGTTGAAGCTGGGAAATAATCGTGAGAAGTATTCCAGTTTGTTGCATTTCACTGTATCATAACTTACATCATATCATATTTATCAGTAGATGTGGTGGCAAAAGCTTCCATACCAAGCTTACCAATCTTCTGGCTTTTATGAATGTTCTTGTAATGGCTGAAGACATTGAGGGATGTTTATGTTGACAAAGAAAGATGAAATTGAGGAAGCTTAAATGAGATAATGAGTGGAAGACGCATTGAAATTTCGGATTCGGAGACTTCAATTCTCATGAATTCTACGAATTTAATCTCCAGATTTAATTGCTGCTGTTTTAAGGATTTAGAGCATTGCGAAAACTGGTGAGTGCTTTGTCAGATATAATTCTTTACTGTAGGATAAAAAATGTTTGAATAAGCAAGCAGATTGTCTTGATTAGTTCCACTGGAGTGAGAACTCAATCAAGAATTGATCATTTGAATTATGGGGATATTATGAATTTTGAATTGAAGGGCTGATCTATCTTTCATGTTAAGGTAGGATACAACAATGATTTGTTGTTGCCATGAATGAAGACATGATATGTCGAAATGACCTTCGAGAAAAGATAATGCATAATGAAAACATACTGCGATGATACTGAAAAAGACGCTTTCATTCTGAGAAGCTGGTATCACTTTCAGCTCAACTGCTGTTGAGTGCCTAACAGGTACCTCCGAAAGGTCAGGGTTATGACGACCCGATTATCGTTTTCCTTCCTGTTCCTTCATAATTATTCATTGATGAATTTCTCCTTTCCAATATTTTGCTCATTTTTCAACATATTCCTGAAATATGTGGGCCGTTGACGTGTTGGACATTTTCGGAAGTTTGTTGCAGAGAAGAAGCCAAAGGGTAAGTACTATTTCAGTACTTTGCGCTGCAGCTTATTCCTTTCCATGAATTCAAAATTCCATTCTTTCAAATAGTTGATCGTTTTTCATAATTTTCTCTCTTTTGACATTATTTCGGCTATCAAGGCTGCCTTGCTCCACTGTTTCTCACAAAAATTGCTTATCACTTGTAATAGCAAACGTTTAATAAAAATGAAAGAGTGAAATTTCAATTTTCCTTTTTAGTTTCGACTTCTTTTTCAGTGTAATTTTCATTTCAGTTATTTTGCACTATTTGTTTCTCTTGGCGAATGTTAAAATTTTTTGGAGTCAATTTTTATGAGAAACAGTATATTTCCATTTTTAGTGGAAGTGAAGAAAATGAGGGAGAAAGCTGGTTGTTTTTGATTCCCACAGATATGTCAATGGTATTCTGGAGCAAAGAAATATCCTGCACCATAATAACACCTGTTGGATATGTATTGTTGTTAATTTTGATGCGATGAATAGATTGCAGTAAAATTCTGTGAGTGTGATTTGTGTGAGTGTTACTGTCTTTTTCTTCCTTCTCAATGGCCCGGATAAAGGGAAGAATTATTTTGCAGTGCTGAAGAAGAATTTCACTGCGGATAGGAGCAATGAGTTACCGGATCCTTCTCTTAGCCGTTATGTTGAAATAGCTTCGTAAAGATTTTCCTAGTATATTATTATGATTTTTCCTTCACTGCAATCTTAGATTTTAAGAGTTTAAGAATAGCTGAAAAATAAAAACAAAAAAACAAAGCAAATAATAGTTGAAAAATAATAAATATGCGGTCATTCATTGTTGAAAGTTTTCCAATTCCACACATGTCTGCTCGTCACATGCAAGTTTTCGTCAGCAAGCAGAAGTTTCATACGCGATCTCATTTCAAAGTTTCATACGAGATAGTAGACAGGTCAATAATTCAACTCTTAGTAGAATTTATCAATATTCTGTTCAATTACGTGATCTAGGTAATCCTTACGCACAAAATTATTTGCGAAAAATTACCAAGTACCACTGTATTCCATGTGATTTTCAGAGCCCTAAATATTTCAAATGGTGACATGTAAATCGCTTCAAATAATATTACTTTACATGCCATACCCTTCAAATACGAAGAAGTTACTTAGTGCTACTGTTACAAGAAGTACTGCTTATGCAGAAATAGTAATAGTAGTAGTCGTAGTATTAAACACTGACACTACCCATCCCGTCTGGTGATGGTCATCGTAGGAATTCAGAAAGGTGGAGGAGTTATTATTGCTCCTCCAAATATCTTCTGCCCACTTCATATTACCCATCCGAACTGGTCCTGGTCTTCATTTTCCTTCCTCTCCCCGATATATACTGTTTTCATCATTCAATATTAATATCATTTTTTGAAACTTTGAAACTTTTATCTTATATACTTTTCTGTGAAGGAAAGAAATCGTTTTCTACTTTGTTCCATCTAACTTTATTTAGCAGGCTTTATTTAATTAAACTGCCTAGCTATAAATTTGAGGAATTATAAGCTAAAAAAGCATTAGTGGATAAAAATGTAAGAAGTAGTAATGCAAGAAAGTTCGGCTTTTTTAATCCGAAATCTTGATCGCCCTTTTCTTAAGAGATGACATCGTAAATTCATTTAATGTTAGAAGTGAGATTGTTTTTGCCTCAAAAATGAGGAAGTTCAGATTTTCTTTTCACTTCTCAGATGAATCGGAAAATATGTACATTTTTATTTCTCTTTCAACAGTTTTTTTCAACAATGAAGTTTCCCTTTTTCTTCCGATTTAAATCAACATTTAAAAGGACTTGTTCACTTTTGACCGGTTTCTTCTTTCCTTTCTTCTCTTCATCTTCCGTCCCTCTCTTTTAACTTCTCACTCATTGCACGTTCAATTTCTACCATTCTGCATCTTTCATTCATTACATAAGTTGTGAATTTTAGTTTATCAGCTCATCGTCCCATTTTCTCTTTTCATTTGCCTTCTAACATGAAGTTTGAAAATGTGCGCGCACATGCATCTATCTATCTGTATCATTCTCAAAGTGTCATTAATCTTTCTAAGATGTTAAGAATAACCATTTCCTTGTAACATTCACTTCCTTTTCCTGGATATCTTCAGGTTTATTATAAGAACAAATAATTGCAGAAGAAAAATCGGTATGGAATTCTTCATGGTACATTTCGTATCAGATTGGGATTTCTATCATAGCTTAAAGCTACTACATCTGCCGAAATTCAATTTAAGATACGAAATTAATGATTAATAAGTTAAAATTTTTAAAAAATTCATCAGCTAACCCAAGAAATCTTCAATGATGCTCTTTACGAAGCAGATGTTTTACTGTGAGGATCGCAGATAACATTATACTTGCTGATTATTAGATCAAGTAGTTGAATTATGACTTTCATGGAAAATTCATCATGTCTGATTTATATCTCTGTCAAAATGACACTCAGTTCGACCATCCCACTCTATCCCGACTCGGTATTTCAATTGTATTGATGACTAGTAATAAAGGCTGAACTGGTCATTTAGAAATTATTGCGATGAGAATTTATGGTTCATATTCAACTGGGAAGTAGAGAAGTCAGTAAGTGATCTACCTATTTGAATAATTTAACACAGATGTTTGCATGGTGAATTGTCGAGAAGAATTGACATGACTGACTGCAATTTCACAGAATTAAATTCAGTTTGCGAAAATTGTTTCAGGTTAGTTCATTCTGTATGTCATTATTCTTAACCAATACTCCAAGTGGTAGCAATGGCAGTAATAATGTGAGTGACAAAGCGGCAACCAATACAATGCAGTTTTTGACGTTTCCATTTCGACGGCGACGAAAGCATTATACAATAAATCCGCCGGATGACACTTATCACGTTGTTTACCTTGGTAATGTATTGACCGTCATCGCTAAAGGTATTTTTACACCTTTTGTTTTTTTTCGATTACAATACGTTTTTCGCATCACAATTAGAATTCATTTTTTAACTGAATTTTACAAGAAATGAAGTATAGATGAACATATATATATATACATATATATGACATCGTATAGATGCACGCATATGCACTTGTATACTTTGTATGTATTTGGTAACCAAAATTATTTTTTCAAATATTTTATTTTAGATATTTTATTTAAAAAACTTTCTCAAAGTGAGTAACATCGTTCGTTGTTTACTGAAAAAAAGAAGATCGTTTACGAAATGTCAAAATGAAATTCAGCAAAAGGAAATAAGCCTCTATTTTCTCTTCGTCCGCACTGAACCAGATATTGATATTAATATTGCGTATAGAAAGATTTTGCATCAAACATTAGAATAGCGTTTCGGAATGTTCAAATCGTCCTGTCTTGTTCTAATACCATAGTTTCCATTGCTCTACATAAAGTTGTAGAATAAATAGTTTCAGGTGAGGAATGTTTGGAGAAGCCCATTTCGTTAATTTGGCATGCATATTGCAGTAAGCAACGCGCGGATCTACCTATGAAACTCACCGTTACACGTTCCGGACTTAAGGTTAGTTAAATTCGGAACAACGGCAGTATGAAAGCGAACTTGGTGCAAAAAATTCCACTATTTCATCGGATTTTTGAAACCTGTTTTTAGCTTTCTGGTTTTAACCAAGTTTATCCGAAATTTACTTATACAATGAATCGGTCTCTAATGGCATAATTAGAGGAGAAAAAGAATTAGAAAAAGTACTGCTTTTGTTTTTGTTTATAATCTGAAACAAACAATCCAATCTTAGGACTGGAAATATTAATAATCAAAATGGCAGTATCAGTTATTTATGAACAATGGAGGATGGTTTGGAGAAGAATTTGAATGAATGGGATGGAATTATTTAATATAAATAAGCTAATGTTATATTTTATTGGTATACAATCGGTGGAATTTCAAAAGTTGGAAACAATCCTACATTACGGATTTCTTCTTAGTGGCAGTAATTAGAGTAAAAGTATTTAAATGAGAATGATTGAAGAATTTATGGTGACAGCTGGAAGACAGCTGTTTTTTAATTCGTCCTGGATGTCGAATTTTAACACGATCATTTTTAGGCAGAAACAAAGCAGCAAAGTGTCACGGAGTATTGGTCCCATCGCATAACATATTGTTTGGCGCCGTCAAATTTGCCACGGGTATTTTGTTGGGTTTATAAGCACGAAGGGAAGAAGATGAAGCCGGAGCTGAGGTATTATATTTCTTTTGAGCAATTTGGAAGCGAATCACATAAAATAAATTTGCTGTAAGATAAAAAAAGGATAAGAATGATTAGATTGGATTTTTTTTCGATTACTATCGGCTTCTTTAAATTTCTTCTTTATTCATCGCCTGTAAATTAAAATTAACAGCTGATTTTTCGAAGTGTGGGATATTCATTTCTTTTCTTTGATCATATGGAGAATCAAGTTCTATATCGCAATTTGAATTAAAATTAATCAGTACTTGGTATATATATATATAGACATATATATATGTCTTTCACTTGTTTGCAAATTTCAGATGTCATGCAGCACTATGCAGAAAACCGTCGGATCCACATAGAATAACTCTGACACTCGAACATTATCTCCGAGCTGCTCTTCAAGTAATGTTATACTTTTCGACTAGATTGTCATTGCAAAGTGCTTCATAGCATCTACCATTCCAATTAATCCTTTCTTGTTATACTCCAAAGCATATTGCTGTTTTCAACCAAAATCGACATCAAAATTACTGCTATCTTTAGTGCAATAATGTTTGCAATACTGCTGTTTCTGCTCAGCGTTAACGTCTTAAATTTTCTCCTGGATTAGTTATTTGCGGGACCTATTCCAACTGCATCATGTCTCAACCTGAATATGATGAACACTAAACATGAAAAGCATAAAAGATACACGCACATTTGTTACGTTATTGTATTGATACCGTTGAGAACTATGAACTCGATCATTTTCGCGATATCTCTATTTTTTGTATTTCATCCGTGTAATTGTAGATAATTACTTTTCCTCAGATTGAAAAATTCAAAATTGAATTCTTATTTAATTTTTGTCATTAGCTTAAATAATAATTACAGTAGCTAAATTGAATTTCAGGAGTATCGTCGTGAGAAGTTGTATCGTCAAAACGCTCGACTCAACGCCATTACTATTGGACAACCATCCGTTGGACCTAAAAGGTATCTTATCTTTGGAATTGATGTCAAATAGTAGTGATATTAGCGGATATGTAGCCTTGTGTCTCTTCTTTCCATTCCTATTCAGATTGATTTTTAATTTAGGAAACTGTTGTTACAAACGGGTTCACTCAATTTCCGTCCTCCAGTTGGCCGTTCAAAAAGTGCTCCAAGATTATTTGCTATTGATGAGGAAAATGAATATCCCGAGGAACAACAGGTTTTCATATTTTCTCTATTAATCTGCTCCTTTCCATATATATTTGCTGCATCATGAATGAATTCTTAAATATAGCTTCGTTTTGATTCGAGATAAAGTCTTTTTCCTTTCCAAACATCCCTAAAATTATTGATACCTTCTCGGATTATTTCCTTTCCTTTTAATATATAGTTCGTCCTTATTTTTTGTTGCTATTAAGCAGATTGTGAAAATGCTTTTAGAGAGTAAAGAGATGGAATTTTTAGGAAGAATATTCGGACGCGGATTCACTATGTTGCGAGGAATCGCCGATCATTGGTGATGCTTATAGTACAAATAGTTTGGAAAGTAGTGAGACAGCGGAAATTCCCGTCTTTGGGCAGGATTTTTTTCGCGGTTCATTTTCATTTTATGTTGAAAGGAAGGAAGAACATGCACAGTTTACTGTAGATAAAGTTAAAAAAAGCGAGTTAAGAAACTAATCTATTTGAAAAATATCTTCGTCATATTGCTGGTGCTTTTCGTCAGTTATGTTTTTTTGATTGAATCGAAAATCTCAAAGTCATCTACAATTCAACACTGAAATTTAACAGTGTGAGGATAGAAGGAATGGTTCAAAGTTAACGGAACAACTCTTCAGAAAGAAAAAAATTTCTCTTCATTTCATTATTTGACAATTTTTAAAACAGCATTTGAAGTAATCAAACTCTTCTAATCTTCTAGGGAGTGATGGTGGGGAACAGCACTTAATGAGGAGACTGTGTGATAAGAGCCTAGAGCAGGAAGAGCAGCGGAATGGATCATCAACGACTAGTGACTTTACTTCAAGCTTAGAATCTGGTCCATCCAGTAATAGTTCGGATGATGGGGTGCAATCCACCGATTCAGAGAATCGATCATGGGAAGTATGCAAGTTACCGAACGCAGAAAAACGACCAGATCGAGAAACAGATACAATTAGCGAAGAGTCTGGTTATCATGATTTTGATGATGGCTTTAACAGTGCCACTACTGACGATGATAATGGTGGTCGGAGTAGTGAAGTTCATTACGATGATGACGAAAGTCAGTACGATGAGCAAGTTACTGCACTGTAACATATTCGCTGAATTGTTGGAGTAATTGGTTATAGATTTTGCTAGCTTGTCTAATTTCCAGTGCCGCGTATATTGCATGTCATGAAAGAGGACACAGAAACCTGATCTTAATGAATAAACAATGAAAACAGTGAAAATGGTGATATCAAGTGACTATCGGTAATAGGTGGTGCTCCCTCGCAAATCTGCTGGATTTATCTAATAAAATATCATGGATAATGACTGTTCGAGAGCCGTAGTGATAAATGTGATGTAGTATTTTCAACAGGTTTATACAGTCGCTCTTTAACCAGTCTCTTGATTCGTTGTTTTGTCCTTTTAGTTCTTTTGTTGATTACAAAAAAAAACCCATTTAATTTTTAGTTTGAAAAAATTTTGGTACTTAAGTTTTAGATATGTTTACTTGACTTTGAAGCTATGTTATCTTTGTACAACTGGTCACATCCTATTAATTTAGTCGACTTTCGAAATTATCCTTTTCTCTTTCTCTCAAAATAAAGTTAAAGGGACAGTTAAGATAATAAAGCAGTATAGTTGTATCATGATAAGCAAAAGTACCGCTGTCCTATGATTTTTATAATTGTTTGAGAATATTTCCGTATCAGAATGTAAATATTTGTTGAGAACTTTTTGAAAAAAAAACGGTTGTATTGTACTACTGTTTATTGGTAAATCATTATCATCACGTTGCTTCTGCCGTAGAAATTGATATACATTTCTATCATAATGAAGGACGTATTGACCTATCTCGCCTAACTTAATAGGAAGTTGCTAAAAATAGTAAAGCAAATGGTTCTAGCAAATTAAATAAGTCATCCTTTGATGAAACAAATACGATAATTTGAAGCGGTGAGTATGAATCTCTAGATTACAATTTAAAAACTTTAAAACTTCTTGTAAATGTATAAAAAGGAAATTCCTTACATGTCATTGTACAGTTAGAGCTCTTTTTGCACAATTTATGCGGATAGCGAGAGATAAATTAACTTTATCACATGTAATCAATGTTGTTCATATATATATAACGACATATATAGTTGGCAAAATCGTTAACTGTAATGAAGAAGAATCATAGGTATCGTATACAGAACACTCAAGCAAATACATAACAACAATCATCCATAAATCATAGTCATCATCAGTCATAGCCATTGTGATAACTATACTTGTTCACCATCATTTCTACTGCTATTATGATTATTGCAATGTCATTGTAATTATCATGACCACATTAATCACTATTATCATCATCATCATCAACATTCAATTAACCTATATGCAAAATACATGTATTTGGAAAGTTTACTTGAGAAACAGAAGAGCAGAAGAGATAAGGGAAAGAGTTTAATAAGCAGGATAAAAATATATTTTATCGTTAAATTTCAATAAAAGAATTGAAATTTTTTCGGGTTTGATGAAAAGTTGGAAATCTTTGTAATGATGGCAACATATCTTTTGTTTATTTCACTTCATTGTGAAGAAATCGAAAAAATTTAAAGAGAAGGTTAGAATCATTTTATTGAAGAAGAAGGTATGAAGCGCATATGCAAGTATGAATGTGCATTAGTAGTAATTTCTGAATCTGGCGGATATGTCCTTGCCAAGGATGTTAATTTTAATTAACTTAAATAACTAGCCCTCAATGCTTACCTCTGAGGCCAACTGTTCTTTTCCTCAGAGTTAATCAAATTCTCCACATTACACATTTTTTGTAAGCAACTTATGAATTATAGCAGTAACATAACAAGCACAGTACACTGTTGTCATTTAACTTGATTAACTCTCTCCCAATCATCACCGAGAATTTTCCATTTGAAAACCGGAAAAGGTAAAAATTGCGAATTGTCCACTAGATAAATGGTAACGGCATGGAAATCTAGGAAATTCATCCGTTGTTTTTCAAAATGCAAACAGAGCCAGCAATTGTCCATGTAAGGCTTAGCGGATTAAGCGGAATGGTATGATGAATGGCACGGAAAGTGAACTGCCTTTCTGGAAATATTTATGCAGGGTTGCATCTCGCATGCAGATACACGCTAATAACACAGTGAGAAAATTAAACTTCTGATGATTTTGTCAAGAATCCAAATCTATAATGCCTCAATTGAGCATATAAGTTCAGCGTACGTTAATTATTCTATCGCAAAATCTATCGCATACAAACACAACACAAACATACCCTTCATCATTTCTAATTCACATCTTCCAGTAATAATAATAATAATAATAATAATAATAATAATAATAATAATAATAATAATAATAATATCATTTCATTCTTTAAAAATATACGAAAACATTAAAAACGGTAATTAGCATTTTACCAAAATGTTTTCAAATAATTAAAAAGATGAATTCGTCTCTTGCTGGGAATCATTAAAAAATGGCAGTAAAATGAAAAAAGTGGTAACTTTTAGAAAAAAGGATGAGATAGATCGTGATGTGAACAGACGACATAAGAATATTGTACGGAGAGGGTCGCTTAAAAAAAAGGAGGGAATCGAAGTCGCTCGATCGTGTAGATGGAATTAAGGCTTGTAAATCTTTCATTGCCTTAGTACAGATGACCTGTCAGATGCGATATATATGTACTCTTTGATGTTAAATTTCTGGATCTTGTAGGCATAACTAACAGCATCGAAGCGAACTACTAACAGATTGATGATGGGATTAGATTTCATTTTCCGACGTAACCGTCTGTATTTTAATTTCTTTTTTCTTTCTACACGAATTTTTGTTTACTTCACATATACGGTTTAGCAACGGTTGCTGATGAACGATTATCGTTTAACTGAAGATATTGATCGAAATCACGTGGATTCAAATCTTGTGCGTTTAATTCCTGAAATTAATGTAACTCAAGTTACCTTTTATTTGTTATCTATCATGTGCTAATTATGTTCACTAAGAAAGCAAAAACTTTCTAGTTGTCTTGAAAGTTACACCGAAACGTATTGAAATTTGTCGGTTTACCCATTCCTTATCAAAACATAATCCATCAAATGATATCAGTGATGGGAATAAGAGGTCAAAAAATAAATTTTTATTCCGAAAATCGATTGCAATTACTCACCAGCTCTCTGTTCATACGTTAAAGACGAACTACAGTAGAATTGAATAGAATTGGTATTTCAATAAAATTTTTAATTTTTATTCATAAAGTTGCACTTACTCTCACAAGATTCGGGTCAATTTCATGAGGACTTTGTAATGGAACCATATTAACGGTACCTACGCTTACGTAATCGATTTCCATCGTATTGTCTACAGCTGAATCATTCGATACGTTCCTCTGTAATTGAATGATTTCCATTTAATTATCACTTTTCTAATTTTCTATTCTCCTGCATTTTCTTCTATGTTCATTTTCATCACATCCACACTTCTAAAGACGCCAATAGCGCCTAATCAGTAGAATGGATTGAAAAGTAAGTTGTAAAATGGTTGAAATTCTGATCAGTTATCCTTCTTCCTGATCAACAAAGATGATGAAGCGCTTCGATTGGACAAATAGACTAATTGTAGTTATCTGCTATTTTTGAGCATCGAAAAATTATAAACAAATAAGTCATATATATTCATCAAAGCATTACTTAAACCCTTACTGCACTCTTGACCTCGTTTCCTTCCCAATTTTCGATCGGGATAATGACGGACTGTTCAATGAGATGTATCACCAGTTATCAGCGCTATTTTTTACAAGACAGCATACAATAGTCCGATTTAGTAATCATTTTAACAACTTACATTCCTTAAATTAGATTCCCTTCACGGAAAGGTCAGTTAAAATGATTAAAAAAATGAGCGGAATATCATACATTATGAGCATAGTACGGAGTTCTCCCGAGAAAATCATTGCCAACTGTTTGACCAGACATATAGTATTCATTATAGCCAGAAACCTGAAACTTATATGGGATTTTTTAAACTTTTCTTGGAGAGGAGAGTAGACCTGACGAATATAAGAATGTAAGGATATTAAAACGGAGCCAAATTTTTTTTGGCCAAATCTTTGGCCATAGCATCGATAGGAAATTTCAGAATCAAAACGCAAGGAAACTGTTTTAGTGATAATGTTTGACCTTTGGCCTAACCCCTGAGAAAAGTTCATATTAACAGCTGCAGTTCAGTATAATTTCGATTGCCGATTCCGAAAATGTAACAACTCAATTCCGATTTTTTCTAAACGAAAACTATTTATTACTTAATACGTGCTATCTATCTGTCTATCTGTGCAAAGAATATGACTGGTTTAGTTATTATATAACGAATTTTGAATTTTTCTGCACCGCAGGAATTTCAGATTGCTGCTGTACTATAGAAGGTACTGCTGGAGTTTGCTGCTGTTGAGGGGTCTGCCACGGTGGTCCAATCCAGCCCTATAAAACTTTGAATGCTTCAGAAATATATAATTATCTGAATTAGTGGAAATGGCAGAATAACAAATAAAAAAGAAACTTCCGTAAGGGAAATTTCCTACACTGCGGCCTCAACCATATTTTCCATAAGAAATATTTCCCGTTTTTTCTTCTCTTCCACTTGGGCGGAAAATGAAAATCGGTAAAAGTAAAATTATCAAGCACAGGTACCTGTCTGTAAAGCTGTTGCTGACGCTCTTGCATACCGCGTCGTTCCATTTGTAACTGCTGCCTTCGAACTGATGAATCATCCTGTGATAAATCCTTGCATGATAAGATCAAAAAGAACAAAAAACTGGTGTAGCCCTAACTTTCTTCCGGGCATCTGTTCCACTCACACAAAATCTCAGATCGTTATTATTTCGATGATCGCTAATCTTCCTTTTTTAAAATCTCTCTTATTACTAGATTGTAGAGTATGTCGAATATTTCAAACTTTGGTTAAAGATGAAAGATTAAAGATTCACCTGCGGTACTTCGTAAACGTTCCTCCTAACTTGGCTAGAATTCTGTCTTGTACATCCATGCCTTTGCCATATGCGTTCTTGTTGCAATTCTGGTGCTATAATATGTTATTTCTTTCTTTCTGATGTATAATCATAATGTACTTTGTTTCTAGTTCTTTTCAAACCCATGCCTTTGCCATGCCTTTGTCATATGCGCTCTTTCCAAAAAAGAATGATGTGTCAAATGAGTTAAGAAAGAAAGTTATCTTCGCCATGATTCTCACGATCAGGCTGCAGTGTCGTAAATGAGGTGAAATGATAGGATGATATAGACTTTGCAACAATTTCACTTCGTATAAAGCAAAACGTACGTATTCTGGGATCATACCAGGTTGTTTCACGGCTGTTATGATCTATAAAGTAAGCTTCACCATTCTGATCATAACGTTTTGCCCATCCATCTGGTAAGGGTCCCAAACCATCGTCCGGTTCCTATAAAAGCAATATTACACATAAACCTAATAAAATAGTTTCATAGGTTGTGTCTTTCAGAAGTTTTCATTAATGCTTAATCGTCATGTCAGACTTGACACTACATTAATTCTTATTGTCTCTGGTAATACCAAACAAAAGTTACTTAATTACTTATCATTGGAGTAATTAAGTAACTGATATCCCATTATTTAAGTAATGCATCTGAAAGATGGAAATATGATGTACAGTCTGCGACACAGGAGCCGTAGGCTGCAAAATAGACTGTTGTTGTTGTTGTTGCTGCTGCTGCTGTTGCTGCTGCTGTTGCTGCCGTTCTATCATCGAACTTTCGTTGGTTACCAAAGTCATTGGATCCAACGACTGACTTTTAGCGCGTGGTTCATTCCAGTAAGTTACTTCTGTTGCATTACTAAAATGAACCGATTGAGACTGGGGGCACTGTAACGGAATGCCATCGAAAAGTTCTCTTATCCTGTCGTTACTACCCAATCAGGAAAATTTTTTCTCTTTTCACTTACAACAAGACACTTTGATATTTTTACAAAGTGGATAATAATATCCTTTCTTTCATATTCTTTCTTTTTCCGTTCTTCACACTTCTTCATAACTCACAATGATCGCACGCATTTATAAACTTTGCGTCGTGAATTAACTTTTTATTGTTTTACTTTGATCCTATGAATAAAATGATCAAACTTCCACTTCATTAAACTTTAACTTTGATATCAGCACGGATTTATATGTAAAAATGCCTATCTTTCACCTTTCTCCATAACTTAAGAGCAAAATTAGTATAAACATTCTTCTCTTATTCTAGGAAAGATGTTTTTCACACAGAAAATCTGTTAATGTCAAAATCCAAGCCACAATTTTAGGATTAACAGATTTCTACATGAAAAACATCTTTATTAAAATAAGAGAAGAATCTTTATACATTATAATCTTTATAATTTAGAATCTTTATAATCTCTGCTAATTTATCCTTAATTTTCCTTACTAAATATTCCGGCCTTATTTATATTATTGTTATCATTATTTTAGCAATTAGACATTGCTTCTACCATAATTAAATAAAAAATATCGCTTCTCTTGAATTATTGATTTTTTGAAGTATGCACGATCAAAACTGTTTAGTATTAATTTGAAGGAAGCCGGCAAGTTGGATTGATTCACTTAAAATTATAGAAAATTATCACTCTTTGGAGTACATTTTTTATTTCGCTTTCATGCTATCATTTTTATATCAATATATGCTATATGTATATGAAAAAGGAAATTTCTTGGAATTTCGAAATTCACCATCCGGTATATTGAAGTAGGAACTGAATTTATTATTACTGAGGAAGCGACAAGTTATATCACTTCTCAAAAAATTCTCGTCCGATTTAATTTTAGTCCTTATCGGAACATTGATAAATTTAGTTATTAACGTATTTGGGGACAAAATTCGAAATATTTTGCGGTCGTATACTATTAAAAAAGCAACAGTTGTTGGGTATCAGGAACGATGTTTAATATCAACTATCTAAATAGATGCTCGGAATCACATCTACTCTTTAGTTCACTACAATAGCAGTCTTCTCTTCTTTTTAAAACTTGGAGAAAAGTTCCTGTTTTCTTGTGAAATTTGAAATGAATATATAGAAGAACAGAACATACTCGACAAAATAAGGTTGCCCTTGGGGTGCGTAATTTTGTTCGAAATGTTTGCTAGGCTCGCAATCCAAATCACAACTTTTCGCAGCACGATGAGATGCAACTTGATATTGTTCACCAACATTAGATACTGCCATAACACTTAACGACTTGGAAGGTGCATGCGCTACACTAGAAGGCAAGCGACTGCAAGTTACAAGTAAATTTAAGGAATGTTTATACCATTTGCTAACTTCGTTCAGATGTTTAAGACGAAAAAGTTTTTAGCCATCAAATTGATCATAATTCCTTCTATTTAAAACAAGCGGTATGACTTCAAAAAAAGGAGAAGGAGTTGATACCTGGAGTGATGATCAATGTTATCTTCGTAATTGATTAGAGCAGGCGCAGAACTTTGCCTGGGATGATAAGGTCCTTGGTAAGATGTATTGAGTTGTGTGGATGAAATCGAACTTGGACTTAGAGTTTGCCGTCCACTGGAGCCAAGCCCATCATCACTTGATCCTTCTGCGGAAGAAACATGTGGTTTCAGTGATGATACCGGTCGCTGATTAAATGATGCTGGTACACTGGACTGAAACAATAAAGACAATAACAACTATTATTATTATACTATTAATTATTGTTATTATTAATGATAATTATTACTGTTAATCATTGTTGTTAATCGTTATTATTATTATTATTATTATTATTATTACTGTTATTATTATTATTATTATTATTTTATTGTTATTATTACTAAATGAAGAGAGAATACCTTCTTGCGTTCAAAATGCTTGCCGTGTGTCCGCATGCCTTCCGTAAAGAGCTCTTCCAGTGACTTCTGCGGATCATCAACATGCGTGTTAATCTGTACATGCGGAGTACTCGCCATCGTTGTTGTTTGCAGTTTCGCTTTCGATGCCATCGCCATTTCCACTCGTTTTTTCGCCGACGCCATCTCGGCGATTTCCTCGAAAAAAACAAAATTCACTATATCTATTATGCCATGAGGGTAACAACACGCTGACCCGTTAACATACAATATTCTTACCTACTTAAAAATTTATCATTCAATCTATCTAAAGCACTGCTTTCAAACCATTCAAATTATCTAAAGCACTGCTTCGTACGGGGTGCTTCTAATTTCTTAGAGATACCAAATGGGTATGAAATTCCTTGGACCTAATCTAAAATGATGCTGAGTAATGATTTCAGTTCTGTACTGTGTACTATATAGCAGTAATAATAGAATCAACACCTACATGTTTTATTGCTCAGTTAACTAATAGTAGCATACCATTTGGAATATAAAACAAAATTTTCAATTAACACATTCAAATCCTTATGATCAAATCGGCCTTACCATAATTGTTAACAAAATTTCATTAAAAAGCGAGGTTCGATTAAAATAAAACATTAACGGAAGATATTATTAAAATAAAAAACAGGAAAATAAAAAGACCAAATACTGGATCGCAAGTGGTGTGCAAAAGGAAAATGGATAGAAAAAGGGAACAGTAATCCGTAGAACCACGGAATGGAGTAAAGGGATGGGAAATCCACAAATGGGCATGTGCCGTACCCTAAGCAACAGCAACAAAAACATCAATTTCATTGGAAGCATTGGATCCACTACGGTAACAGCGGCGCAATATGTGAATTTTAGCATTCCCTCCTTCTCCATTCTTTACAATCTTATCTCCTAAAAATGGTAGTTGGCCATAATCCTTAGCTTCTATCTAGTTTCTTAGAAAGGTAGCAATTGGGCTATGCACAGATAAGTGGATCTTATATGATTGTCTTTCGTTGAATCCAATAATTACCACTATAAATTTTTCTGTTTTTATGTCCAAAAGATGATGGCGACATTCCGGAGCCCGTTGAACTGCCTTCTCATCCTTTTCTACCCGTCTAATTGCTACTTTGCTTGCTTTCCGGTATACACACACTTAATATATATATATATATATTTTCCATATATCCATGCCCGCATTGGAAATTTCTTAGACCACTATTTGCTCGAAATTTCTGAATAGCAAAGAGTTAAAAGTTGCACGTTTGGAATTAAATCTTGGATTCCACTGCAATGCAAACAGTGCGCCATTGTTTCGTCTAACAATTCAGCATTGAAAAAAAACATGTAGCTCTATGCTGGCAAATATTTTTTTAATCAAAACATCGGTTATAGACGAAATTAGCATTTGCAAATGCAGCGTTAATGGAAGATGAAGACCAAATTTTAAGCCTGAGCAAAGTGCCTCAAATTCTGCACACGTTCTGAAATCACACCTCAGATTCCAAGCATGTTTTGATGGTAAATGTTCCGTTTGGAATAAACATATATACTTGAAATACACATGCCTGTTGAATATATGAAATTGAACATGTATTTGAATAATAGAAATTTTTTTCATTCACTATTACTCGATAGATTAAAGATTTAAGGTAAGACCATATTTACTTTTCATATGCTTCAATAAACTTTAACTTGCTCCACTTCATTGCAACATTTACTACAATCATTTAGAACTGCGACATATTAACTTTTGACTAGAAATACTTTCAATGCCTCCGTTTATAAACCGTTGATAGAATCAAAGAAGGAAGTACTGTTGTTGGTCATTTTACAGGCTATCTTTTGGAAATTATACTGTTTCATGTCTAATCCTGTTATTTTTAAGCCTATCGAAACATACTCAATAGTCGAAATGATTAAAATGATCCCCCATAATTCATTTATCAGTTGTACTGAAAGGATGCATCGTCTGTTAACTTTGAAGAACATTAGCGCTTCTTGTTTTGTGAGTATTTATTTTTCGCTGTGTTTTGATCCTAACTAGGTGCTATCATTCCATACCAATAGCAAGGATCTCTTTTCAAATTCGACCTAACAAACGGATAATGGCCGCGAAGACATTTTATAACTTCGGATTATTCGATTCGAAAAACAAAACAAGTAACTTCTTCCTATCCTCCAGACATCATAGCAAGTGATGCAATAATGCCATTTGTATTGATATAAATCAATGCCACGGAACGTAGACGAAGGGAAAAAAAGGCCATTGATATTTATAACGTTCAATTTTCGACAACACATAGACGACGAACAAAACGATGAATTCCTTTACAGATGATATGGTATTTTTGCGCTGCGCTGCGCCACTACAACGCCACTCACCAAATAATTCATTGTTAAGAAGCGAAAAATTAAATGTTAAAGTGAACCAACGAAGAGATGAAAGCTTAAATAGTGCTTGCATCCATTTCTATATTATTTCATTTACTTCCGCCATTTTTCAACAAATGGAAAATTGAAACAAATGGCATCAAAGTATATAAGCATTTTTTTCAAGAGAAACCAGTCGAGAACCATTCATTAAATCATTACCTATAGAAGAGGCAGAATAAATTTAGAATGATTATGCCTATTTTTACTTAACTTGTCCGATATTATCAATTGTTTCCAATAATATGGCCGATAGTCAACGCATTATGGGTATGATGAGTTAAAAAAGATTAGGCCTGTTGCCTAATATAGAAACGAGAAAAAGGAGGAGAAAAAAAATAAAGTTAGTATCGCTAGATTAACATCGTAGGCTTCAAAAAATATTTTCGAGGATTATGGAAAAAGGTGTGATATGAGGGGGGTAACTCTCAAGGATGGATCAAAATGATTCGATTGTTCGGTTGACTGACTGTTGACGTCAGAATGTCCGTCGAATCATTCGTTCGCTCCGTTCAACGGTGAAATAACGCTGTGATCAGAAATTCGATTTTGAAAAAAGGAAAAAAGAAGAAAACACACAAACCGCGTTTGTCTCATTTTGGAAGAGGAACAGAGAACTAATTCTGAATGGATCTTTTTGAAAAAACAATCCTAAAAAGGAGTAGCAAAACGTTAACATACGTTTTAAAAAATATTGCATAAGAACGAAGAGAGGAAGCTATTTAGCCTCACAAATTAATTCTTTTCACTAATATCAATTCATATGGTTCTGTGCAAAGATGAACGATAATTGTATTGATAAAGGTGAGATTGCTGATAATGATGCTGATAAGGCAATAAAATTTTGCGATTACAATGATAATGAGGACGATGTTATCATCAGTAATGATTAATGAAAATGACAGGAAGCGTTGGAAGGGAAAGCATTGAGGAAGACTAAATCATCTATCCGCATGATATTCCCGCTAACTGATAGAAAATTGATAACGCACTTAGCGCCACTATCCTCTCACTCTCCTCAAACAGCGCGTTGCACCTTTGGAATGCTTCCGCAGCCTTTTGATCCATTTTCTATTTTCTTATTTCTTGCATATCTGTGTGATAATAGGAAAGAAAAAAAGACATCTATAAATAAAGTAAGCAATATGGTAAACTGAGACTGTATAAAACGGGAGCAGAATTACCCGGAATACCAGCAAGACCCGAATATTTGACCCTTTTTAGCCTGGATTTTTTTTTAACCAAATTTCAATTCAGTTCATCTGCTTTTGTTGATCTCCAAATTGATACTGTAACTCTCATTTTAAATGATAGAAGTGGAGAACGATGATGGTAGTAAGATAGCTTATCTCAAACAGTACATTGTGATATTGAAATGAAAAGGATGATTGTTTGCTGCTTGTAGGTAGAAAAATGGGAATTAAGTAATGGAATTCAGAACTCAGTGACCGAATGATCAAAAAACCGGTAATGAATGAGGAGAAATTAAGATGAGAAGGAAAGGATAGGTCAGTGAAATAATAGAAAGTGTGCGAGATTGGATGGGAAGAGATATTCGGTGAGCTTTGCAACGAGTAATGTTATCACTGAATGATTTCTATTTTGCAGTTCCGATCAAATTCAATTGAAAATATATTGGCGCGGAGAGGGAGAAAAGAATGAGGAAGAGGAAGAGAGAGGATAGAAAATAAAGTGAAAAGAAAGGAAGTTAAATTTTGAAGAAAAATATACACACATATGAATAAAGATATATATTATTGGGAAGCAGATAGATCAAGTGGATCCTCTGATTCGACCAGATCGGTTCGGGTCGGATCCGGTCGGATTAGAACTATTCTATCGTAACGGTACGACAGCATCAGCAGCTAATGACACTGAAAGTGAAGACGATTGCCTTCAAGGTGTGCAGCATATATATGTGTGTGTGTGTATGTGTGTGTGTGCGTATGTGTATGTATGTGTGTATCTGTTTGTGTGTATGTAATTGCGAGATGAACGGTGTGCAAATGGTAAACTTAGGAAAGAAGAGGAAGAAAGGAGCTGGTACGGAATATAAGGTGTTAAAAAAGACAGTGAGAGAAATGGTGGAAGTTGGAGGTGCACTCAAGGTGTGTGTATGTGTGTGTGTGTGTGTGTGTGTACGTATGTATTCTCGGGTATGGCAAGCAATAAAGCGTACACCACCAGTGGACACCGTTAAGTTGATGCTGATAGTAGTGACGGCGGTGATGGTGGCGGTGGTGCTTGATGAATTTAACCAACGACTGTTTCTTTGACTTTCCTTCTTTCCTTCCACCTTATCCATCCGTCCATCCCTTTCTTTAAGTAGCAGCTAGCGCAGCAGCAATAGTAGTGATAGTAGTAATAGTAGTAATAGTTGCAGTTGTAGTACTACGGTGTGTGTGTATCGCGATGTGTGTTCATCACCGCCATCGCCGTGGGACGAATGAGCCGTGCTTCGCTCCCCAAACTTGCCGTCATCGTTCTTTTCACTTTCCAACAGCTTCAGGAGCGGTTATAGTCTTCTGTTGCGGTACTCAAAAAAAATACACACAGGAATTATATTAGTAAGGACTGCTACACTTTCCATACCGCATGTTTGTCATTCTATTTGTAGAATGTGACCGGTAATGATTGAACAACATTTGAATGAATTTAGGTAATTGGTAATGACTCGAAAATTTTATATACTATAAAGTTTGCATGAAAAATTGAAAGAAGTTCAATGCTTTGTTGTCAAAAGCTTTATAAATATTAACAAAGTGTTCCTGTCAAGATCTTGAATAATATTTTTTCCAGTCTTTCCATTACCAATGAATCGCAGACTGTAAATTTTTCAAAAGTTTTTCCTATCAAATTTATTACGACCCATAAAGCAGTTAAGTTCGAACATGGAAATAAGATGAAGCGTACCGACATAAGGAGATTCTGTTTGTAGACAGAATGTTAACAGGGGGCATGTGTCCTTTCAACTACATATTCAAAATTATAAATCTATTTCACCAAGTCATTTTTGAATGTGTTTTGTTTGGTTCAAGAATATTATTGCTATTGTTGAAACTTTCATATTTTGATAAGCTTGCCCAACTACCGGTGCATATTTTACAGCTAAATTTAAGCTCAAAGTGTGAACTTACGTGAAAAGGGAAAAAGCATTGTTTAAAAAAAAAAACAAAACGGTTATAAATTGCTACGATAATTTTCTAAATGAAAAAAGAAACATTTTGTTATACTAACAGCATATTATCTACAAGTGGGCACTGCAATCATAACGTATAAAGTAAAACTACAAATATAACGAAATTATAATTTACGATAATTATGTACTACAGTTGAAACGTAAAACAAAAATTCCATTTTCAATGCGATGCCAATTAACTGACTTATAAATGTAATGTTTTGGCCTACAAATGTGCTTTGTATGATAGCGCGTTCAAGCAGTACCATACAGAGTTAAGCAAATAACATTTATATCGCATTAGAAAAATGAACTAATTTAAGCGATGAACAGATTGTGAGAAATCACGATAGTAACATCATACTGATATCAACAATTCTCACTTCTTCATTTCTCCACTCAATGCTTTATCAACAAACAAGTAAACTATTAACATATCCAATATCCCAACAAAATTCTCAACTTTTCTTAGTCCATTTCCTTCTTCATATCTTTCTATTACCGCATTTCCAACCTGCAGGAAACTGATCCACAAATTTTGGAACACAACTATACTTTTATCTTATAACTTCTGAACATATCATTATCTCAATGAATTACCATAAAATACCCAAATACATAGGGTCGGCTAATTTTTAGCGACTTACTGATGAAAAGGTTGCCCATCCAAACTGGTTGATTCGACCCATGCAATGAATCTTCGATACTTGAAATCAAAGAATTACAGCTCTTGAAATTCATACTAATCATCTCATTAGCAGTAACTAACACGATAAAGTGTAGAACAGCTCAAGGCCAAGGATACATTATAACCTTTCGCTATTTTTGCATCTGCTGATGGACCGACCCATCGATGTATTACTACCATCAACAACAAATGTCCCAAGTTAAAGGAGTGCAGGGTGAGAAATATTAATCTGGCTGACAATAAAATGCTCTCTCCCACAGACCCCGTATTTGTCCGATATTGGGGTTCATAGTGGTGGTATAATAATGCCATTGCATGTTTACTACTTCTTTGTTTACAATATGCTCCTTGATGAAACAACCACCTGCTGATGTAACAACATTCAGTTGATGAAACAACAACCTGCTCTCCCTTACCTGTCACCGTCAACAACAGCAACCTACTGCAGACGACAAATATATCTGAACTTAAATTTGACACTCTCCTCAAATATATAATAGCACTATGAAGACGTACATAAAATTGTGAATTGAGCATTTCATGATTGATTGGCTTATCATTAAAATGATTTTAAAAATAAAGCGGTAGAAAATTGCAAAAAGATAAGGATAATGGTCATGTAGGATATGTAAATTTATATTATTAATAAAAACATCATTTCATAGAAGTTTAAGCAAAAGAACGTGCGCACGTACAACCAATCGAAACATTCAATTGCAAAACTGCATATGAAATTGAAAAATAAATATTAGGTGCAATGTAGAGATAAGTGAACATAATTATTTTTACCACTTTGCGTTGAAAGTCAAGATTCAAAAAAAAGATCTCTAAAACTTGGCTTTATGTAAAACACCCTTTTGTTCAGGTCTTGAGTCGGATGCAAAATTCAAGCAGTTTGGAAATCTCCTCCAGCACATTTTTGTGGCTGTACCGGTTGCTAACAAAATTGGTGGAAAGATTATTACAGATAACTGAAATCCTCAATCAATACTTATATAGAATATTATCCAAGATACTGAGTGGAAAATAAACTATGATATCGTTCTCTGAGAATATTCTTTTGTACTTTCCCCATCGCATTTCGTGGCAGCTGATCAAGACAGAGAAAACGCTTTGGTACTTTATAGTTCGCAAGTTTTGTATGAAGGATACGAATCGCTTCAGATTCATGCAGAAATGCATGGTTACTTGATTCCAGTACACACACTGCCAACACTGCCTCGCCCAAATCATGATGTGGAATACCTGAAGACAAACTATGCAGCACATAATCAAACTGAATACTATAAGTGTATGCATGAACTCTTTCTGCTGTATTTTCTCGTTTAACTGCCAAATATAGCATAATTAACGTCCTTATCATGGGCACATACAAAAGTTATTCAAGTTATTCAATAACATTTCTATGTATCAATCTAACTGCACGAAGTGATATTGAGAAATCAGGCGGATTAGAATAAAAGATAAAAAAGATGATGTTCAGCAGTGTTCAAATGCATTTGTACCAATAACAAAAAGAAACACCTTATTAAAACATCGAGAAGTAGCAGTGTCATTCACACATTTCATAAAAGAATTACCAATATAAAATCCCAGAAACCAGGAAGGTTTATAGCAGAAACGAATTTCATGCTATTTTCTCAATATTTTGACATTATGCGCACTTGAAAAACAACTGGAATGGCTTACCTATTACAGCCGATTCCAATATATACGGCAAAGAATCTATAGCATCTTCCACTTCTTTCGGGTAAACATTTAATCCACCACTTATAATCAAATCTTCTGCACGGCCTTGTATCCATAAGAAACCTTCAAACATATAACCAATTGATATAAATTAATAAGCAAAACTAATTAGGAGGTTTGAATGTTGAACAGACCACATCATCAGTTCAGCGAACATCAACAAATATTAAATTATATAATGATATCAATATTATTTATTTTCGCTTGACATTTACATTCATTTATGAGCTGGATTACAAACACCACTTTAAATGGCATCTTACAAGGAAGTTAAAAATCCTATTGGAAAAAGAGAAATAATGAATCTCTCCTATCAATCTGTTTTGGTTCTAAATTTAAAGAGGATTTGAATTGTGCAAAATTTTAGATGGATCAAAATTTACCATCGCCATCAATTTTACCAACATCGCCAGTATTGAAAAATCCGTCATCAGTAAAAACTTTTTGTGTTTTATTCTCATTTTTCCAGTAACCAGAGAACACGCTCGGGAGGCGAATCTGCACTAAACCACCTTCGGTTGTACGAATCTACAATGCAGATGCCGTTAGATTTTAGTTTTTAATCATTTAATAAAGAATGAATGACTGCAGCATAGAAATTAAATGATCTGGACCACCAAATACCTAATATTTGATATTAAAAACAATAAATTATCTCTCGAAAGATTTAAGTCTGCCAATTTTTTTCTAATTCATTTTTCTCTAATCCATTATGCTAAGGAACAAAAAACAGAACTGATTTTTTTTCAAATCACTTAAAATTCATCATTAGAGTTGAAATGTTATGCGACTCACGCAATCAAATTTGCTATTATTTTTAAAAAATTTTGTTTGATTGTAGATGACTCATAACCCTTACGAAGCTTGAAAAACAAAGAGTTCCTCATTTTCAATTTAATTTTTTCGAATTATTTAAATGGAACATGAAACGAGAAAAAACTTACATTGCCACCAGGCAAAACTTTTCCAACAGATCCTTTTCTGCGATCATTGTAGGGATTGGTTGTAATTACGGCTGCTGAAAACTGTTATTTAAGTCAGAACTATAAGTAAACTGATGTATCTAAAGCAACTGTTTACAAATCACTAGTTAATAATGACTCTGTTAAGGGCGTAGTATTCCTGTTGTATTTTGCTTAAAACTGCTGCTATATGCACAGCTCAGGAGTTTATAAATTTTACTTCTATCCTTCATGTGTGCTATAACAGTACTCTTCACTAATATATAAGCATGGTATCATTTCTTTATGCCATTAGTCCTTAATCTAAGGCGCAATACATTTGTCATTTTAATGAAATATTTTGCCAATATATTATTCCTTATATTCTATTAATGATATTGCTAACTATTACTTTTTTCAAATCATTGTTTTCAATTTCGTCAGTTTGCATATGATTGTGGTTTACGGCAAAGAATATGCAATATTAAACAGAAAATTCTGCAATAGATATTTTAGTGTAATGATGTTACAGCTCAGTAGTATCCAAAGCAATACCATTTCAGTAAGGCCTAAAATAATTTATAACGTATAGTGATGCATCTAAACAAAAGAAAGAAATAATGGAATAAGAGAAGTTATCCTATTCGATTACTATTAATAACAAATAAATCGTAAACGAAAAAAATGCAATAAGAGGTGAAAGTATATGAAAGTATGCAACCTTCGGTCATGCCATAACGTTCTAGTATTTCATGTCCAGTTCGCTGCTTGAAATCTTCCCATAACACTGTGGATAAAGGTGCACTTCCACTTATAAATAGACGAATATTTTTCGCTAGATCTTTGCCGAAATTAGACCTTCGCATCAAACGGCTAAATTTTTGAGTAGTAAAGATTTAACAAAGTTTCGAGCAATCTAACCAAATTCTTCCAAATATTCATAAACTGTGAAGAAAAAACTGAATTCCGTTGAATGTAAAAATGAAAAAAACTGAAACCTGTAATACGTAGGGACACCCATCATGACCGTACATCGAGGTAACCAATCCAAAGCATCGTTCACATCAAATTTCGGTCTAAAGAATTTATTCTTTGTCGAAGTTAAAGAGAAAAATTTTTTTCCATTGCAATTTCTATTTTTCTCGCTTTGCGTTAATAAAAGATGATACCAAAGACTTCTATGCCCAAAATATTTATCAAGATTGGATAAGTGAACTGAAACTATACCAGGTAAAATTGAATGTTACCTGAAAATTACACTCGATTTCGTAAATAGGGTGCAATTGAGACTTATGAACATTCCATGAATATGATCAAACGGAAGCATATGGAGTAGCACATCTTTCTGCGAAAATTTCCACATATCTACCAGTGCTTCTGCATTCCACGTGAGACCACCATGGCTTATCATTGCACCTTTTGGTGAACCTAAATATTTTTTTCTTCATTTCTACTATTTTCCTAAACATCTGATATATTTTTAAAATGAAACCAAAAAACAACTTGGTTTTTTCTTGTTTTTCCATGTGTAAAATGCTGAAACAAACCTGAAGTTCCAGAAGTGTAGCAAATACATGCAACGTCATCAGGCTTCACACATTCCATACCGTAGTCGGGTTTCATCCGACGGCTTTCCTCAAAGAAAGCGGTAGAATCCATTACATGTTCAACCTTATTTGCAAAAATTTCGTCCTGTTTGATATTACAGCTAACAAATAAGTGGGGATCACTATCCTAAAACTTAATGCATTTTTAACGAAATAGTTCTGTAGTTCCATAAATGAAAAAATTCTTGACAAATAATTGTTATAAGACCAACTTTTCAAATGTTATTCACATGTGCAATAATTCCCTGTAATGCATGTCTCGATGATAGTGAACCCAGAGAAGACCACATGGAAATCTTAAAGGATTGCCGACAAACAAGAAAATTATTAATATCTTACCACCCAAAAACTAACTTTAACAAAATGGATCGTTTCTGCTAGTGTATAAGCTGGATTTAACGGTACATAAACAGCCCCAAGTCGTATCGTTGCGAGATAAAGGACTAAACTATCCATGGACTTCTCAACTCGGCTCAGCACTCTGTCGCCACGCTGAAAAGTGACATGATCAGAAAAAGTGGTAGTTTAACAACAAAATGGTTCGAATCAGGCCATGTGTAGAAGGAAGAAATTGTTAAGAAGTCAAGAACTCGGTAAAGCCATGCAATTTAGAACAAAGTGATGCACCGTCTCCTATTATGGGCAGTTTATGCGATTCATGAAATAAAAATTAGCAATGAATTCCAAATTAGTGATAAACTTGTTAAATTCATCTTAATTTAAACAAAAGTAGATAACATACATTGAGCCCAAATGTGGTATGTAAGTGTGCTACCATCGAACCGACTTGTTTTGACAGATCTTTATATGTTAATCTAATAGCATCATTAAGGATTAGCGCGGTTTGTGACACATGATTACCAGATGCATCCAAACCCATGTGATACGTGATATTGTTTTGAGCCGTTGACATCCATCGCTTCAAAAATATCCAATAAGTCGTAGCTATCCGCTGGGTATGACAGCTTGCTAACATTTAAATGTGATCTAAAGATGAAGGATAATTCAGTACAAATGTCGCGTATTATTTATCACTATGCCTCGTGTCGTCAATACAACCCACTATCTCGGACTAAGGTCAAGGCGCCATTTTTGAATCCAAAGGGAGACCTAACAAAGAAGTTACGTTCTTCATTTACTCTGTGAAATTCAATGTCACCATTACCATTGTCATTATCGTTACCGTTATGATCCATATACAGTAAGTAGTGCCACTAACTAGTACCACTCAGTATCACCACTATTTACAGCATACTGGAGAGAATTTATAAATGATAACAAAGTCATATGCGGAAGATAAAGATGAAATCATAGTGAATAGCGATAAGCTGATAAGAAAATACCTTTGATATGGTAATGTTGGGCCTTAATCATCTTTTATGAGATCTATCATACAAATTTTGCTGAATTGATGTGATCTGGAACTATGCCATATTTTATTACTTTTATTACTTATCGCCATTATCATCCAGCCTAACAAGTAACGATCATCTTAGACTGTACTTTCTCACATGTCAAACTACAAAGTCATCCTTTATTCAAATTTTTGGGAAGGAAAAGTTACAAGTAAATTTCATGTATATGAGCAGACGCCCATCGCGATGTGAGCATTGGCCCGGTTGGCAACTTTTTTTGATAATTCCGCTTGTCGATGGTTTCCTTTTCATTCGTTATGATATTATGATATTATCATTATCATGTGCAACTTTGTTCAGATGCGCAACTTTCAATACATTTTCCGATCAGATCCGTGGAATTTAAGTTTTGGAGAATAAGAAGGTTAGAAACAATTCTTTGGGATTCTGGCTCGTATTGGATGACAACGGATTCTTCCCCGATGAATTTATTTTATCCACTATTTATTTTGATGAAGAAAGGATATTCTCGTATTATGCTCCATATTTTAGGTTTATGCTTCAAACGATGCTTGAAGTGTTGATTAATCGACGCTTTCTATTACTTGGTACTGTCGTCTCCTTGTAGGTTTTATTTCTAAAAATATCGGTTTTTCTGATTTCAGCTTTAGATTATTCTAAAAGATACTTGGGCTACTGATCATAAAGCCATTTCATTTTGTTCACTGATTCGATATTCATTTTCCTAAGACATCAAATTAAATTAGGTTGAACTAGTAGGTTCTAATTTGAAAAACAGATCATTATTGCTGAAGCTATCAGAATATTTATTTCGTTTTGACGAATAGTTATTACAAGCAGTTATCATTTGAAGATCTTATAAGCAATTCCTTCTAATATCTTGTCGAAAGATTGTATTACAGTATAAAATATATATGTATTGCTAAGTATTCACATATTTATTCACTTACTTTATGATAATTTATCTTGTCGTAATATATTTCAGATTGAAAAAGTTATATAGTTTAGCAATTACTTCAGCTATTTTAAATTAAAAAATGTGATTGAGAAGGGAAAAAATATGAAAAATATGTTTATTATTACACTATCTATCTCCTATGTTTTAAGATATAATATAAAGCATATTAGTTTCTCAAGTGCGAATGAAACAAAGAAAAATTTTGAAAAGAAATCCTTTTTCAGAGTTACGTTTATATTTTTTGTTTGTATATATCGATTGGAAAATATCTACGGTGGTGATTTTACGCTGAAAAAGTTCGTTACATGGAATATTCAACGAAGTACGATAAAGAGTATGTCTCGAGATATCCAGCCGGTAAGAGTCAAATTAACAATTTATTGATTCCTAATTTTTGCTCTTCTGATGGATAAAAAAAATAAAAAAAAAATATTAGGCTTTGATTTGAGACATAATTAAATTCTGCAGAAAGTAACTATTCAGAATGTGTTGTGATTAGTATGTAAAAAAGGCTTTTTTTTGCCTAGTAAAATGCTTCTTACAGAAAGATACGTTTGTGATTTCAGTTAATTGATTCAAAAAGAGAAAAAATTAAAGTATCTGATGGACCTACTTCAAAATTACCGGATCACATGTGCTACAAACATGAACCATTTATCGTTCTAGAAAGGTGCATAGCGTGCTCTCAGTTTGAGCAAAATGCTGTAAGAGCAGGTGGTTCATTTATGAATTATTTTCTTTTTAATTAAGCGGATAGAGACGATATATATTTTGACAGAAATTACTTAAAAAGCCTTACATAAACCGAATTAATGGCACTCTCCTCTGAAAATATTGTGACACGTTTTGTGATAATAATATAACTGTGTTGAATTCCAGCGTTTCTACGGTAAAGCTGATCCACCTAAGTCATCTGCTCGAATTCTAATCTCATTAGTATTACTCAGAAATATTTCGGAAAAAGAATGAATTCGGTAGGGATAGCACCGGAAGTAATTTTGTTTTTTATAAAGTTACCTCACCCTTCAGATGAATACATTTCAATTCACTTTATGAGTGATATTTGCAAAATATCTCGAGCTTTTACAGCTTATTGTCTTGAAACCGGTTTCTATGATAAAGTGAACTGTTGGCGAAGTAAACATCTTGGGTTGAAGCCGTGCTATGGAAAGGCAAATCGGTCTGAACAGTTTAATTTATTCACACTGTTATGCGCTTTTTGTTCTCTTGTTAGCTATAGCTTTGTGAACTGGAGGCAAAATATGCTTCGCAAACAAGGCTTTATGAGAATACAGAATCAGTTTAATTAATTTTACTATCTTGCACTGAGTGTTCCCGATATCAATGCAACTTTTTGTTAGACATTAGGAATCCTTAAAGTTACTCTTTGGTATTAACTGTCAAATTATTCTATTTACAGATCAAGCTGGCTTATATGTATAGCATCNTATATGTATAGCATCAGTGGTTTATATGTGTAGCATGTAAGTTTTGAAGGTATGAGGCTAACTAAAAGCAATTATATAAAGAGTGGAAATGATAGCTTTAACTTTTATCAAATTTTGCTTTTATTTCATTTGTTAATCGAAATCCAGTGGGAACAAAAGTGATTGGTGAAAAGAGACTGTAAATCTTATTCTTTTTTCTTAAACACATGATCACTCTTTCCTAGGGTCTTTTCTGTTCTCATTGTGAAAAGATTGATTGTCTTTTTTTGCCATTGAAGTGTGAAATAGTAGCGAAATATGCATTCATAGAAAGGATTAATTTCAGTTCCTTAATCTTACAGTTTATTAAAATCATTTCTTATGCTTAATAAAATGTTTGTATCTCAAATACCGTACACAAACAACTTCTTGTAAATAAATTATCATAGGATAAGTAAATGATGAAAATGTCAGCTTTATCGAAAAGAAGAAAATTCATGAGTAAATAAAACTCTGAGAAGCGCTTAATTTACTGATTTTTCAGAAGTGGATGTATGCTAAAAACTGAAAAATATTTTCAGTTTTTAGCATACATCCAATTATTTTTGATGACTGCTGGATCGGTGATCAAATCTTCATTGAAAAAGAAATAGGGAATCGATATCATAAGGAAATTTGTTGTTTCGAAGGATCTTGAAGCAGTTATCTTGGGACATGTGCGCATCTCCATTGGCATTTGCTTCACTTTCTCGACCAGATATAATCAGATAATGCAAAGTATCTTCTGATACTATCCCAATTGCTAATATTACTATTAGGACTTGAAACTCATTTGTTAAAAAAACTGGTAATCGCCTCTTAACTACTCGGCTTCGAATTTCAAAAAGTGACTTTTTTATGTTGTTATATAGTTCCGTCTCTTAGTACTGAGATATCAACCAATTTGATAATGCTGTCTATGATGTCTGGAGTGATATACTAATAATAGTTTGCATTCCAAATCCCCAAGTACTTTACACTCTACTTTTCTCGTTTATATCTTTTTTGCACGCAAAATTCTACAGTTCTGACAAAGATTCCGACCGATATAGCAGAACATCAGACCGATTATATAAATATTGATAATCGATTTATGCAACTTTGTAAGACAGATAATTCGTGATATAATCGCCATTAGCTCTCAGTTGAGGGTTTTTATTACTATGTAATCTGCACATAATGCCTAGTCCTGCTGCCACTATGTAAATTCTTTGGTTTTCTCCCCTAGCCTTAAATA